GTGTAACACTTTGATGACAACAGCCTATACATTTACCTCACTTAATTCTAAGCAAGCCACGCAGGCTTCATCCCATAGGAAAAAAGGGATAACTTGTCAAAATAAATTTAGGTAACAATGCAATTTTCTAGGAAGAGTAACAGTACCAACCATCACTTATGGCACAGGCAGCAGCCTTAAGGTACAACTAACATTTCATAAAGTTCAAGGTTTTCTCCTCTAGTCAGGTGCAAGGATAGGGGCATCCCTTAAAATAAATCCAGTTATTTTGGAAACAGACCTCTTGGTTTGCCTTAAGATCAGCATTTAGCTGATCAGTACCAGGTCAAGCCTGCCTGTTCTCCACTCCTCCTCCACAGTAAGGAATTCCAGGAAGCACAGGGAAATACTAAGAGGCCCCAGCAGCATCTTTGGAATATGTTTTTTCTTACTGTTTCTTTTCATCAATCCCCAGTAAGAGGTGAAACACAGGCCTCTGTCTTCTGATGTCTTCTGATCAAGGAACATCAGTTCCTTTAACAAGGCTTTTAGCACAGGAGGAGGACTTAGCACTGCACTGCAATACACAGTGAGCAGAGACATTCAAGCTGTTCAAAGACATACCCACAGTGTATTCCACACTACTTAGCGGTGAGAGATTATCCTCCTAAATCTACAGACAGGAAGATAAGCATTCCCATACTGATGAGGGAAAGAGCTCAGGGAAGCTTCCTCCCAGCCTCAGACAGGGCTGGCTGCAGGCTCTGGGCAGGCTCTGCTGGCCGTCCTGCTCCCAGGAAAACCACAGGGACAACCCGTGTGTGCCCTGCTCCAGGCTCCTGCTGCTCCTTCGCCCTTCCCTGGCACAAGCCTTACCTGTTCAGAGGCCTTTCCTTCTGGGACCCATCTTGAGTTACATCCTTGCTGCAACCTGTATTCTCTCTCTCCAGTTCCACCCTGTATGTAACTCCTTTATATACGTCTGTTAGTTCAATTCACTGATCTGGAGAAGGAAAAAAACCAACTACATTGCAGTTTCTTCCCAGATTAGTGAACTGTAGGGGTTAATGGGGATGTTATGAGCACCCCAGCAAATGCAAGGCAGGGAACAAACCCAACTGGGAGCAGGCAGGCTGGGCTCGCCCCTCTGGGAGCAATGAGCCAGCAGGGCAGTCCAGCTGCCTGTGGAAACCACAGGCCACTTTGGGACAGAGCACATAGAACACTAAAAATAAGCTGGACACTTTATATCCACCTTGAATGTAAAGAATCTTTCCAAAACTCCTCAGGAGTTTTACCCTTGCAAGCACCGGACTCGAGCTTGTATCCAAACTGAAGCACATTTCCACACTCTGCCTTCCCTCCTCCCTCCAATTTAAGTTACTGCAACACATAACCTGAGTACCAAACGAGGAATTTGGTACTTAAATTACCTTAAATTACCACATTATTCTGCAGGTTGCTGTAATTACATGGGCCATATCTATTCTGTTTGTTGTTCCGCCGCCTGCCCCACCACACTGTCAAGACACCTTTGGACTGCTCAAAGGTGAATCATTTTACACATTACCAAACAAGACAGCACCACAAATGAACATTTAAAAATGCCATTTATAAAAAACAGAAATTTATTGTAAATTAAAAAAAAAAACCAAAGCAAAACAAACTGAGGTTAAGTTTCTTGATAAAAATTATTCACACAGCATTCGTGTTGTGATTTTTTATTTTATTTTTTTTGAAATGAAACCATTGTACATTGTACAAACCATAACTACCGATGGAATAAATAAGTGAAAAATTATACTGCTGTACAACACACACACACACAAATCATAAGATGGAAAACGATTAGGTATTGAAGAAAACAAAATTCTTTACACCTTCTAACAGGCCCTTAGATATAAAGAACATTCCAAAACATGACAATGTTTATGTATGAAGATAGCCACCCAAAACCGATATTTTATACTGCCTTGTTGATTTATTTTTTTTTTTGTTGTTTTGTAAGTGCCAGCACTTTTTGGAATGTTTTAACAACTACTTTCCCAAGCATAAAAATTCCAAGGAATAGTTCTGCTATAAAATGTTTGGCTGAGTAAATCGCTTATCCGGAAGGCCTTCCCACGTGTTCCACAAACTCAGCTAAGTTACTTACTTGCTTCTAGTTTCTTTATTTTTTCCTTTTTTTTTTTTTTTTAATTTTTTTTCTTTTTTAGTTTTTTATTTATTTATCTGTAACTGAAGCTCCAACATTCAGCATTGTAGCAAGGAAGCACTTCTTGATATTTGCACTATTTCTAAAACATCAGCTGTATGAGAACTTTCAGTCATCTTGAAGAAAATTACATCTCTCCTCCTGCTCCACCTCTCAATGCTTTCAATAAACCCTTTTACGGTGAGTTCATAAAACAAGTTTCGGGTAGAGATAGGTCCAAGCCAAAACCAGCTGGATTTAGATCTCGTTTCAAACCTCAGGTGGATTTGAATTCCATATTCTGGTTTGGTCCCATCTGTACTTTCTGGCATTAAAATGTGTTTAATCACATCCGTTGGCCCATAAATGTTATCAGGCACTTCAAAAAAAGACTAATAACAGTCTTATACACTATTTTGGATTTCTTCATACCAGATAATGTCAAAGTCTCTTCCCTTAGAGACTGACAATAACAGGTCTAAGGAACCCAAATCTATCTGCTTGTTCAGTTGTCTGTTGTCACTAGAATCTCTGGTTAAAATAAAAGATCTGAATGTATTCTCTGTAAGCTGTAAATAAAGGATTCCTACCTCAGAAATAAAGCCTCTAGGGAAGATGGTTATGATGCCTTGTCTTGTAAGCCACAGAACAATGAACAGTTCTGAGCAGAAGCCACAGGAGAGAAAAGGAAGTTTATAATTAAACCTGTTGATGTCAATAATGCCAATAAATGCTTCTATCTAATGAAAAATTTGAGGTATTTTTAGTGCTATTTATATATTTTATTTCTTCCTAAAGTACAGGAATTAGTTCCTAAATGAAAAGTCTATTTACTCCCTTGGAAACGTCTACAAAATGAAAATTAAAAACTTGCTGCGATGCACCTGAAGAGAGGGATTAGTAAACTCGACTAGTTGTCAAAGGTGGCATCAGATTTGTTTTGTTTTAGCATTAAAAACAACAAAAAGTTAGTAAATCAAAAATATTTTAAAAGTTTGAATCTTTCTAGATTTGCCCATTTAATATATCAATAGAACTTCTCACAAAATATCACTTAAATCTGAATGTAATATACATACAAATCAATCATCATGGACCAGTTATCCACATTTTAGGCATACACACAATTCAAGAGAGAATTCTACCGTTTCATTGCATATATTGTGCAAATTCAGTTTTTGGCTCCTCATTTCCTTATTTTCAGGATGTTAACGGACTTCATGATCAGACCAGAAATCCCAAAAGCTTATTAGGGAGCACGCTGTTTTCATGAATGATTTGCAATCCGATTTTATTCAGTTAAAATCCAAAAAAGTTTTATTTCATCATAAAGGAAAAGTTCTGAAACTGAGTGTCATAGGTTACGTGGAGTTCAGTCCTACAAGCATCTTACGGAAGGTCAGTATTGGCTCCCCACTCCTCCCTCCCTCTGTTCCCTCCCCCCAATTCCTCATTGCTTTTCCTAATAAAGTGGTAATTGCAAATGTAATGCAGTAGTCTAAGTGCAAGCCATTTTCACTATTGGAGAATCCCAACCTAAATAAGCTTCATGAAGAGCTAATCATGAAAATGTATCGACTGGAAGCAATTTCTCCTTTTCACCTAAAAAAGTATTTACAGTTTTCAGCTTACAAACTACACGCAACCATTTCCAGAGCTGTGAGATCATAGTTTAAATTACAAGTTCCATCTCCCACACCAAGTGAGGACAGAGTCAGGGCCTGATCCAGCAGTATGTACATATGGATGGATGTGTGTGTGTGCATGGAAGTGGGAAACGAGCGGTTCCACCGACACCGGGGGTTTATTCCCTGGAAGTACAAAGCCCACTGGAAGACCAGACCCTTGTGACCTGATGCAGATGGTTCTGCTCGCCACGAATTTTAAGGGAGTTGCACCTACCTCCTGCTTTTCCATCAAGTTTAGCATAAGCACACTTTAGTTGGGAGAGGAGGAACATTTCTAACTGATGTGGGGACTATGGAGACAACAAGGCTTATTTACAAGACTTGCTGAAAGAGAAAAGGAACCCCCCAATACAGTATTTTCCTGGAACACAGAAGTAAACATCTCATAATGAAACAGTACAATGAAATCCAGTTCAGTGAAAACATGATATCAAAAAAGACCAATTGAAAATAAACTGACTGTGCATCAATCCCTTTGATCCTATTTATGTACATAGTGGAACTTTTCTGTAAAGTTGTACCCAGTACAGAGATCTGGACCTAATACGTAAGTATTTTAAGTGCCTGTGTTATAGTATATATTCAGATCTGGACTATAAATGGTAAACAGATCATGTTAACTTCTGATGAAGTTAAGTATTTAGAAGACCAAATTTACAGTTGCGAATGCCATGCATTCAATAAAAGATCTCCACTACAGCTGCTAAAATAAAACATCAAGCTCCTTTTTCTCCTTGGACTCCAAGAGTGAAAATGGCTTCCTGATCTATAGTTGTTTAAAAATTTAAGCACCAGGGATTTAAAACTTAAAAACGAAACAAAAAACCCCAAACAAACAACAAAAAAAAAAAAAAAAAAAAAAAAAAAAAAAAAAAAAAAAAAAAAAAAAAAAAAAAAAAAAGAAAAAAAGAAAAAAAGAAAAAAAAAAGCCTTACTACATGGCATTATACAAACATAGGCCACTTTGCAAAGGAGACAGTTGCAAAACAACTTTTAAAAGTTAGCACTGTTTTCAGAACACAAGGCACAAAACAAAAGCAGACATCACGCCAGAACAATGAACTTCACATGAAAGCTAATACCTGACCTGTACCATCCTTAAATATCTTACAATGTTAAATAGAGAAATGAAAAAAAAATACAGCAGCAACATAATTGTAATTTTGACTTTAGAAACAGTGCGTAGACCCCTCCTGAGTTGTTTACTCCAACCATTTCAGAGACAGTAACTTAAAAGTTCTCAATGTTTGTTTCACAGGAAAAAGTTTTCAGTGTCTGAGAAGTTAAACCTTTGTTAGGCTTTCTTGGATTTTTGCTTGGTAACTTGAAAAGTTAGGAGTTCTGTCCTCATCCAAGAGAAGATGCTTAAGTAAGGTTGTTCTATAATTAAGCCCACTGATGTACCTTACATAAAATCTGACCAGAAAAATCTATAGTCTAAATCTCTTCAACATTTTGTTGGGAAGCCTCTACTTTCATCTTTTTAGAAGGTGGCACTCCTTCAGAGTCCTTAATGAGGGGGAAAAGAAAAACAGCCACGTTATCATTGCACTGAAGTTGAGGCACCGTAAACATCAAACAAACAGCACGAAAATGTCACGTGTGACAGCCAAAGCATCCCTGGATGCCAGAACAACATTCCCAAGTGCATCTGCTTCCTGAAATCACTCCTCTACTTACTTCTTACCTCGACATCTTTACACTTGTTGTCGTCTACAAAGGGCAAAATTTTAGTTCCGGGCTAAAAACCACAGTGAATATTCCAGGGAACAGCAGGGTCACCCTGCCCCAAGCACACGGGGCTTTTCTCCTGCTGTAGCCAGAGCAACCTCTATAGTTCAGAACAGGCAGGTTGGGGAAGTGCCAGGTGTGCACTGGAACAAACCACTGACCCACAGGAAAACCAATGGATGGAGCAGTGCTCCCTGAGGATCTGGAGTTGTCCTGCCCCGAGAAGGGCACACCTAAAAGGATAATTTCTTTCTCCCACCTACCCAGAATTTTTCAGCGAATAAATATCCAAACATCTCATCCACTGAATCTATAAAAATTAACTTTCCTAACTGCCTATGCATTTACCTTTGTAGAAGGCATTTTACCTCTGAATGGTCCTCAAAGGGGCCTGCTCAGTAGGTTTGGTCCAAGCAATTTATTAATGTAAAATTTTATTCCATTACAAAACACAGACTGGTTTTTAATAACCAAAAAGTCAAACAGACCAATCTGGTCTTACTGTTCCAATTATGTGAAATTGGAAATTATTCTAAATATACAACTGGCCTCCTTACATTTTTTTTTAGTAAAAATACTGTTTTCCAAAATCCAAGTAATTGGGCTTCTGCACTTTAAGTTACCTGAGAGTTTTTAGATGCCTCTGTAATTATATCATTTTCTCCAGAGGACTGAATTTCTGCTTTCTCTGAACTATTCATGGAATTTTCCATTGAAGACTGTGAATTCTGTTCATCAGAGGTATCTGAAATTTCAAGAAACAATTTTAAGCAAACAAATGAAAGCATTCAGCAGAAGCTTTTAGGATGGCTTCCCATCAGCAGCATCCCAAGCACACGCATTTCACCCCCGTGTAATGGTTAATGACAACATACATAACTGTGTGAATATCGTGAATTAAGCTCCAAGTGCAGGATCACAACGTGGCTGCTGGCAGAGCTTCTCCTTCCCAGTGCCGGCAGCAGAACCCTGGGATCAGACCCTAGAGGGAGCCAGGCTCCCACACACCCTCACCCAGCAGTGCCAGGGCCAGCAGCAAACAAGTCTCAACACAAACTGACTGCAAACAAACTTCCTCCAAAGCAGAAGGAAAAGGCTGCTACAGAAAGGGCTGAACTGTGATAACTAACAGGTCTAAAACTGTGTGGCTAGGGAGAGAATAAAATTACCTGGATCAAAATTCAGCCATATATTTAAAATCCACTTTTTTGCTTGATACTACTTTAAGATAGAATTTAGAAATTCAGCTAACTAGCTTAACCATTAAGGTTGTAGAATGTTTAATTTTGGTGCACAGCTGTGGAGAAGTCTCCCAGCCTGTTCCTGTTTTCAATTTTCATTGGGATTTTTTGTTGTTGGGTTTTGTTTTGTTTTGGGGTTTTTTGGTTTTGTTTAGTTGGTTTTTTAAACCCTTCTCTCTCTCAAAACATGACTTACAGAATACTCAAGGCTAAAGCATCCATTCACTCAAGAGAGGCCAGGGCACTTTAAATGTCTTCACAGGTTAAAGATCCCTGGAAGTTTAACAAAGTGTGTCCAGAAGCAGAGAATCAACAAAAAAACTCAAACCAAACAAAAAACTTCACTATTCAAACCCTTCTGATTGTAAAAGGTCAGTTATAGTTCCTCCAGTATCCACTTCAGGAACAGTTTAAGGACCCCATTCTTTCCTTCAACTCATTTAAAAATCCTTTTTGACTTAAATTCTCAGAAGTGTGTGTGAAGTTTTATGAAGCGATCCCTCCATAGATCCCTGACCCAAGAAACTTGAATTTATTCCAGATGAAGAGCAATGCAAGATCAAAACAATTCTGGACAGATTTGGTTAACAAAGATGACATAACCAGTGAGTAATGGATATTTTTGTGACACACTGCATAAAAAGCATCACAAGCATTTCTGAGTTCAAGCAATGCCCATGATGAGCATCTCAAAGATCACACTCAGTAAACTCGGTCAGAATCCTCTTCCTGTCCATGTCTCACCAGAAAAGCATCTCCATGCTGATAGAGAAACAAGTCCCAAGGGTCAAAAGGAATTTCAATTTGAATTTTTGCAGTGCCTGTCTCAGCAGACACTGAGCTGAGGAGCTCTGCCACGTGCCCATCTCCCCACCACAGACTCCTCATGGCCACTGTTCTCTTCCAGGTGCTCCCGACAATACACTCGGGCTGCTGCTGACCTTTGGGCAAGGGGACCTGTATTTTAAACAGCCAAGTCCCAATGCCTGTTCACACAGCAAACTGGTTGCAGTGCACCTGTTTGGTTTAAGAAGTCCTCCTTAGGCATTTCCTCCCACCCAAACTGTCCCCTGACTTAAAAGAACCTTCCTGATTTCAGTGGAGCAATGTGAGATGGAGGTGCAAGGTCCTTAACCCTGTCCAGTTGAATAATGTCACAATTCCAGGGCTCTGATTGATCCCTTTGGTAGATAAACGTTTACTAAACTGTATAACACAGCACATAACCAATAGAAAAAAACCCACATTAACAACAGGCATTTTTTTACCATTATATCTCCCTTTCATTTTACAGTAACTGACTGGAGCTAATCCAGAGGACTGGGTGTGATTTTCCCTGAACCTAAATTTAGCCAGGGGAGCTTTGTAACGACTTCACATCACCAGGTTCAGCCAGTGTTACTCCTGGGAGTAAACTCTTACTATTTAACGTGGCCAAATATGCAAGCTGAGATTTTCTTTGAAGGAAATGGTGCTCTGATTTATTTCAATTTGGTGACAGTTCTGTTGTCGAATTTTAGCCCCAGTTAACAATGACAGTATTTAACATACTTCACCACCAGCATTACTGAGATAAAGGCTCTAAATTTAAATTGGTCACTGGATATACTGAGTGAAGAACTAATTTAATTGCTTTGCTATGGGAAGAATTCTGCAACCAAATCATTAGAATGGTGTTAAGGACATCTTTTATCTGTTATAACAGGACGAAGGAAGTTATCTTTCCATGAATATAAACACAGAGCACTTTTCAATTACCTAAAATACCATTTAAAGAGTGAGGTTCAGAACAATCTCTTAACCCACATGTATTTTTAATCTGTGCACAACGGCAGTACAATCTTGTAATGCTTTTAGAAAATTAGGACAGAATTCAGAGCTCACTTCTGAATAACTAATTAGCAGGGTTAAGAAAAAAGAAAGCTTACATTATAGTTGAGACAATTTTAAAAAATAATTTCAAATTATCTCACCTCTATTTCACTTTCTTCCTAGATAACAAACACTCACAGACCTACACAAAGTAATACCCTCCAGGGTTTGTGTGATTACATGGCAGCCGCCATTTCAAAGATGAAGAATTCTTTCACTTATAAATTATTCCTTCTTTCAAGGCTGAGATTATGACAACAATAAACCAAGTATTTTGTTTCTCTCTGAAAAGACCCTGAATGTCAATGTGACCTTTCCAGCTGTATGAAGGATCATCAGGAAGTCAGAGACATTGTGGCCCATTTTCACATAAATGCTGAGAATTCAGCAACCATCTCTTTCAAAATGTTATTTTTTTCAGTTCTCAAAGTGGATAAGCAAATAAATGACACACTAAAGGATAACATTTTTTTGTTTGGCTTTGAAGGTGGCCTTCCCAGCTTACCTTCTGAGCCAGGCTGCTCCTTTGCCTCTGCCTGAGTTTCGTCAGACTTGACTTCAGTGCCGTCTGCTTGTGTTGCCAAGTTCTGCTCTGGTGCTGGACTTGAATTACTACTGTTTTCTTGTTTTATTGGAGAAGCATCAGCTATTGAACTCTGGTTGCTATTGTCATCTGTTAACAAAAGAGTGAAAAACAAGGAAGTTTAATGTGACAAGACACAAAGCAAACCTTAATTCCTCCATATTTTTCCTGTGTTATTCCCTGGTAACACATGATATAATTTAGCTCATTAGGGATCAAGTCCAAGCATTCAGACTAACACTACATCCAACTTTTTTCCACACCAGCCTAAGGAGTTTTCTAGCAGTTACTAAAAATCAGAAAACTTCGAAAAACAGGTTCAAACTAATTTTATACATCAAAACCAAGAGTGTTTTACTCAGCTCTCATCCAAAAGAACCCAGAATTTTGCAGTGTGAATAAACCAGATCAACTGAAGTGACAGTCTCATTAAGGGCTAATCAAGTGTTCACACTTCAGATTTACAAATACCCATCACTCCATTGTTCAGATGAGCAGATGTTTTTTGAAATGTGTCCTGAAGGTCAAAAAAAACCCAGCCCAAAACCCCTCAAAAAAACCCCATCAAGAGAAAACATAACATCCAGTCCCAATATCAATAGTTTCTAAGTGATAATTGTCCAGGGAATTCCCAAGCCCTCAAAGACTTGGATCACAGTAAGTTTCTGCAGCACAGATATTGTCTCTGTAGTCAGAGATCAGATTAAGTTTATCATGGAATTGTACAGTCTGCCTTAAAAATATAAATTATATATGATAAAAAAGCAAGTAGTATATTCACCTTGTGGATGAGAGCAACAAGACTTAAAAAAATTAAATGACCTGACCAAGGCAAAAGGCCAAGAAGTTTGAAACAGATGAAAAATTAATGCAGATCTGTGAAAATCCTGCTCAATCCTTTAATTGCAAGACCATACTTGCTGTGAACACTGCAAAAACCAACCAGGAGGCAATAGAAATGCAAATAAAATTGAAATGAAAAATTTACAACCCACTAAAGAGTGATCCCTTCTTATCAGCTCAAATAGTGCTGTTTTCTCAGCCATAATTGTTATCCAAACAGCCAGAAGGTAAAAACTTGAAACAGAGCTGAGCTGTGCAAACTCCTCTGTAATAAACACCAGGTTAACACTCAACAGTCACACTTTAAAAAAAAAAAAATAAAATAAAGTTGACCTAATAGTGCCTGACTGGCAAGCCAAAAAATATTTCCTTAAGCACTTAATTTCATCAGGCTGAAGAAGAAGGAAGACAACACAGAACCACAGCTTGCCTTCTTGGCTCTTGCAGAATTCTTTTGACCTTAATCAGTTACAGAGTTAATAAGTACAAAACCTGCACTAATTGTAGGAGGTACCACTGAGGCTTTGGGGATTTTTTGGTTCTTCAAGCAGCAAACTCGACAGAGTTACTACTTCACCTCAGTGTAGTATTTTGAAAAGTAGATATTTCTAATTTTCTGTTTTGCTTCACTAACAATTCCACCCCCCCCATAGCCCAAATAAAAATGTGGTTTAAACAACTGTTAGTACATCCACAGGAGAGAAGTCCAAGGTACCAAATAAGCATCTGATGCTGTTTTCACTTTGACTCCATCACACTGCCCACACATAGGAGGATCTGATGTCGTTGGCTTACACCTGCAGAGCAGTGCAGGAGGGGAATTGGGGCTGCCCTTCTCCCACTCACCGTGCATGTCCATCATCCCTGGGGAGGAGCTGTTCTCTGGGGTGGTCACTTCAGAGCCACATTTTTCATCTTTGCCTTTTTTCTTATTCTTATTTTTCTGAAAAACAAAAGGCATCACACACAAATGAGATACCACCACCACAAAGAGAAATCCGTGTTGCAGTATAAAACCCTCATCACTCATTACTTCCATAGGCACCTCTTAATTTCAAGTGAGAAATAAAGCCAGTGTGATAATAACTGCCATTATCAATAATGCATTAGTCCCAATAATTGCAGGGCTGTTTTCCCATTTGCATTCTTCTTGACACAGAACACTAGGATTTATGGGAAATTCTAACAACAGCACTAAACATGATCTTAAAGTTCTTTTCCGACCTGAACTATTTTGTGATTCTGTTCTTCATCTTCAAACTGCACCATTTCTGTAAAAAGCACAGAAGTTCTCAGAAACCCTCCTGGTTCTCCACACAGGAATCTGAGGCACAGTGATTAAAGGGTTTGCTGCAACAGACTCTGAGAACTTGGCAGGTGCTGCTGCCAACTCTGTACTCAGCCCTAAGAGCTACAGAAGCAAGGTCAAAGGAATCTCTGCTACATCAGGAACAGGGAATAATATTCCTGATCAGAGGCAGGGCTGAGATCCACCAAAACACCCTATTTCTGAGCTCCCAGCTCTGCTCTGTGTAGTTTATGTGTATGAACACACCACTACCTAACCCAGCACATTGTCCCTTTCCTATCAGGAAGCTTCAAGAGCACACCAAGACACTGTGCACCACAGGAATGACAAAGATCGTGAATTTTACACTCAAGAAACAGCTTTTTACCTCCTTCTCAAAGACCAACACTGCAGAGGTCTCCTCCTTCCCTACAACCAATGCTGTTTCTTCATTCTAACTAAAAGATGGATTAAGAAAAATCAGACTGGCCTGAAACAAAGAGCACAAGCACGACAGCCCTGCGTGGGCACCTGGTCCCAACCTGCTCAGGACCGACCCCAGCACAGAACACAAGCACTAAAACAAAGGAAGAGCCCGTGGATCCATCACGTGGGAACTCTGCGCCTGCCGAGGGATGCAGCATTTCCAATTAGGAGGTGACGTAATCAGTCTCCCAGGAGAAGGAGCAGCTGCACTGCTTTTGGAGGATCCTGCTGCCTGCTGAGGACACAATGGGAAGCCTGACTCCAGGAAGAACACTCTCAACCCATCCTTTTGGACAGAGAGCGTCTTCCAACAGGGGAAGGAACTAAAACACAATCAAATATTGTCTAAGACTGCAGAAGAAATTCAACAAGTGATATCTGGGAAAGACTTTTGTCTTTATTTTAAACGTATTATTTAGCTTATTTCTAAACTGTGTTTTTTCTTCAGAGAAGTCAGATTTTACTCCCTAATATACAAAACAGAGGTGAGAGTACATGGACTTCTTTACCTTTGCAAAATGAAAGTTCAGAGAGGTCATAATATCTCTCAGGTTTGGTTTTGTTATTTTTTTTAAAGGCAGTAAAGACACTTTTGCCACAAAAGAAATATTGAAAATGACAGCAAGCAATTTAAGCTGCAAAGTGTTTTACAAAGGTTTAACCATCAAAGTGTTGAGGCTCTAGAACAGCCTTCCAGACCCAATAGGAGGAAAAGAGCCCAGCTAACTGTAGTTCAGAGAAATGTCAAAGTGTCTTAGGAACAGCACATGAGGGGGGAAGAAATCTAATCTCTGTTCACTAAAATCAAAGACAACTTCCATTTGAAACAGGAAAGGTCCCATCTTCCTACTCTAGTGAAAAGCAAATACACTGTCTGCTCCTTCACAGTGGATGAAATTGGATATAAAGGAATGTCCACAAAATTAAATAGCCAAAATTATCCCTGCTTGGTATTTATTTGTAAAATACATGCACTTGTTTTATTTGTGAGAACTTCCAGAGCAAGAAGACAGAAGCCTTGTGACATCAATGCTGCAACAACTGCAGCATGAAAAGAGTGTGACTGTAGGACACCAAAGTAACTGGTCTTGAACAAGTGTCCCAATTTCAGCAAATCTGGAGCCTCAACCTACAGATGATGGCTCAGAAAACACAATTAAACTGCACAGAGACCATTATATAAACCCATTCTTCATAACAGGGAATCTGACTTCAGGTACCAGTGACCTTGAAAATTCATCCAGAAGCTCACTCAGAAATTCTATTTCCAAGTCCCACAGCACCCATCCTGCAGGAACACCTTCACTGCAGGAAAATGATTTTCAGAAGCCATGAACCTAAATATCCTAAATCTTGCACTCTCTCTCACATAGACAGCACACTTCCCCCCTCCCATGTATTATAAATAAAAAAATCAAGACCTAACATTTGACAACTAGAAACAATGAAGAGATTTCTGTAAAGAAGGTTTCCCAGTTCCTAAGGGGTTACTTCACAGAGATGCTGCTCAAGCACTGGAAGAACCCAAGAGGTTTCCCACAACTTTGACAGTCACTGATATATGTGGGACAACCAAAGGCACAGAAAGAAACAAAGTAAAAGCACGTGAAGCCCAAGGAAGGAGCACCAAACTTGGCATATATATTCTGTTGCATCATTATTTTACTATGATATCATGGATTAGTTTTCTATTACAATATTTCAACTTTAAAAAAAGCAGTGTTTTGAAAATCAATTTGTAAGTCCCACCCACTTTGATTTTTACAGTAATTTTTATGCCACATGAACAGTGCACACTAAGAACACAAACATGATGCATACACAGAACATTTATGAAGAGAAAACACACATTGCAATAGAAGTGTTTGTGCTGTATTACTTGGGCTGGACATCTTAATACAAGCCATCTCAGTTCCACAGGGTTTTCCTGCCCTCACATCAGTGTTTTGCACCTATTTTTGAGCAAAACAGAGAATACTCTGCCCGGTTCCAAACCAGCTACTTTCCTCTGAAACATCAAGTAGAAGGAGGGAAAATGGTCAATGTCTGAACTTCCCAGTTGTTACATTAGAGAAAGGTTTAAAAAATCAATTTCAAGCTGAATATTCCACAGTTATCTGAGAACTGATCCCAGCTGACTCCAGGAAGACTCACCCACTGACCCATCAACATCACTTTCCGTAGAGATCAACATCTCCCTGGAGCGTGCAAGACCCACACCAGCCTTAGCTTAAGGCTCTGAGAAGACCAAGAATATTTCTTTGGATTTTCCCTAAACACAAGGAGAAAGCAGAGACTGCAGGATATACTTACATCATCGACCTTGGGCTCTGTTACTGGGACCCATTTGTAAATCCTTAGGGATGTGTCGCCAACTGTCACCCACTTCTTCTCCCTAGAAAATTACAATGCAGGAGAAGTTAAACTTCGAATTCAGAAGACAGTGATCTCCTATTGTAAGTTGTCAAGGATTTAAACAGGCTATTAAGTAGGATGATCTCTATTACATCGTCTTTAGCACTGCATTGTGCAAATTGTTCTTTTCATTTCACAAAGTTGTTAGAGCACTGCTACCCTCCAGATTTCTCAGGGCTGTTACCTGACTGGGTAACTGCAGTAGCAGTAATAAGATCTGGATTAAAGGTACAGTTAAGAAGAACAGCAATTGAAAATGCAGATTTAATGCCTACAATTTTCACTTCAGTTTCTAAAGAGCAGAAGAGGGTTTAGACAGACCAGTGTGTTTTGATTGTCATGAAGCTGTTTAATGGCATCAGAAATCTAGATGCATTTTGACCATCTGAGGTTTATTTTGGGGCAGAAATTTGCTGCTGGCAATTTAACATTCACTCCACACCCCTGACAGACAGCTCTGCAATTCCAGCCATAGGAACAACAGCCTCTTTGGAAGCAACGTGTGCCGTGATGCAGAATCCAGACTCTGGAGAGCCCAGCTCTCTGGAAAAGCAAGGCTGAGGCTACCAGAGAGGGAAAAGCATAACCTGGAGCACTGTGCAGGCCCTGCCAGCCGTGAATGGTGACACTGACAAATTGTGAAGGAAATGTGGCTGGAGGGCGGCACCACCTCGGGGGGGCACAGCGGAGAGCGAAGGGATGCTCAGCGCCTGGGTGAGGGATGAATTCCCTGAGCTCTCTCCATCAGGATATTAAAAGAAGGTCCACAATGCCAGAGAAATTTCATCCCGTGCCTGTGATCAGTTTTCAGGTCACAGATTCCCACTGCTGGTTCCTGGGTTTGTAAAGCAGCTCTGCAAATGGATCGATTAGAAGTTAACAACAAAGAGCGATTCCATTAAATATTCAGGAACATCTGAAATTAATTTGGCATGAGATCTGAAGCATTTTTTTTTTCCAAAAAACACATTTAAATAATAGATTTGGGATCCAGTTATAGGTTAAAAAGATTTAAAAATGTTTTTTGCAGGATGGGAGAAGCTGGGTGTGACTCCAAATGTGTGATAGCTTCATTTTTAGAAAGGACCTCCAGAATCAAAAGCAGCCACAAACATCCTCCTATTTGTTTTAGCTACTAAAGCCAATCTTTTATTTTCCCTTTAGAAGAGACATTTTCCTGTTTAATTAAAAAAAACCCCTAAACTATATAGGACTATTTGATACATTTTGGATCTGTCTATAAGGAGATTTTAACTTAAGTCCAAAACTATTTGAGATTTATTTCTTTCCCACTGCTCTTCCTGGAGTACAATTTCCCCTCATTGTGTTGGGATACAACCATTTGGGTACACTAGGTGGCTAAAGTATGTCAAAATCCAATTTCACTCTAATTTGGAGCTCTACATGCGATAAAAATGACAGTGGAGATGAGGGCATGTCAATAATGAGAACATACTTAATTGTGAAGTGATGATCATGGCATAATTTGGGGTTTTTTTAAGGATACAAGACAAACTAGGTTTATCTCTACTTAGGAAAACCTTTGAAATTATGGAAATAAAACCAGCTGGGGTTTTGTTTTGGGTGTGGGGAGAGGTGAATAAATGCTAATAAAAAATCAAGATTTTAGTCTTTTCCTACAGCAAAATATTACTTAGAGATGCTGCACTGGAAAACCAAAAGTTCAAGATACCTGTTAGCATCTCAAAGCAGCCTCACACAGCATCTTCACTGGACAGACTGTAGAACACAGGAGGAAACCTATATTAGTAACTTTTTCCTTCTAGTATTAAAGTTAGCCCTGACATTTTAATTCTTTTGAGCTTCTTAAGTACCACTTTAAGTTTTGATAACCCTCAGCTACAGGGATTTTTTTAACTGAATTCAATACACAGTAATTCAGACAACAATGGGAAGAAGGATATTTTGTGATGGAAGTACACCGACATCCCAGTCCTGCAAACACTCAGGGCTGAAAAGAAAACCCCACATCACACTGCTATTATGCAAATATTTTACACGTGTGAGCATTTACAGTATTGAAGGTTTAAGACCACGAAAGTATCAGTAGGAAAAAAAGAAGACAACCTCCTCTAAAATGTAATAAAATCATTTGCAGCACAAACACGAATTTGTTAACAGAGAAACGCAATGACTTTGAGACACTTGAGATCAACAGGGTAAAATGACTTCAAGATTAAAGATGTTTATTGTAAATTGAGCTTAGAATATTATGTGTAATACTTACTGCCTTTGCATTTCACAACCAAACCCAAAATCCAAACAAGCAAACAAACACCCCAAACCCAGTTCTACTCTGACCACTCTTTTTAATCTCTCATGCATAGACACCATCCCAACCTGCTGGTCAGGGACTTTCCTTCTCATTCCCTGAGAACTGACAATTTACTGATGCTGCCCCATGGCAGGAAGTTTGGGAAATGCTGCACAAACCACAAAATACCCTCCCTGACCCAGCACTGGAGTGGAAATGAGGAATTCCTGAGCTCCTGTGCCCAGCCTCTTGTGAGACCTGAAGTAGTTTCTCCCCATTTGCACCCACTCATCCCGAGATCCTGGGCAGAATTCCACCCCATCACCTATTCCACCTTTGGTAAGTGATCACTAGGCAAAATATGTTATCACACTACCCTCTGTTATTCCTACAGGTTGGTCTCTATATTGACTGGTGGACTGGAAAAGGTGCCTAATGGAAATCCATCAACCTGACAGTTTATCAGGCTAAAAATGTGGCAACGATCAACTTTACTTGTCCACTTCTAGCTGATAAACCCCGCAGCTTTACAAAAAAATAATAATTTTGCCTGTTTTAATACCTCTCCTCTTCCTCCATGAATGAATCAGGAGTAACAACAGAAAGTGGCAAAACTTTAAATATCCACAAAAATACTTTTTTCTTTTAATTTTCCACGCCGAAAAGTATCTTCAATATTTTAGTCATAGTAAATTCAGAAACTAACCAATCCAACAGAAACAAACCCTTACATCTATCTGAAATTGTGTTAAAGCATTTTTAAATTCTGAACTGTATCTGCACAGCATTTAAAGGACAGCCAAGGGTACATAGAGTAAGCACTAGTATCAACACTTCTTCAGTGCTTATGCCTGAGGCATACTAATATCCCAGAACTTACATCATTATATACTCAATTCCCCACTCTAAAGAGCCCAAGACTCTTAAATATATTTATATTTTGTTTAATAACACTAGAGCTCCACAGATGAGTATCAGATTCCACGTATAAAAGTAATATACGGGTGAGCAAAGACAACAGTGTACGTTACACTTATACAGAAAGTGTCAAGGCAGCTTCTGCAGCAGCAGTGAGTGCCAGAAACATTTGATGGCACAGACACAGAAAGCCTTTGCTGCCAATATATCACTCAAGAAAAGGCTTTCCCACTTGTTTGGCCTTTTCCTGTGGCTCTCATCCATCACAGTGATGTCCGTTTACACACGGATTTGCTCCCACATACCCCATCTTCTGCTGGTGATCACGAAGTGACGTCATAATGCTGAATTTATCACATCACACTCACTTGCATTGCAACAGAGTTTGGTGAAAATCACAGAATTATGACCTCCCTGTGGGATCAAGCAAAGGAGAGAGGGGAATGGGAAAGAAAATGCCATTATTATACACAAAAAGTGCTGTGAGATGCACAACAACTGACTTTCTGAGGCGCAGGCTTGCCTTCCTGAGCACACCCACTGCTGTGGGGATGTCTGTCTAGTGACTAACGGGAAGGAGTCCCAGACACACGTGGTGTTTATACTGACCACGCTGCAAACACAATAAAAAGCCATGCAGCACGACTGGACAAGGACAGGTGGTTACAGACACCTTCCCTCTGAGTTTCCCTAAATACGGCACATTTTGAGAGCCCCCTGTACCTTACACAGGCCAGCACATTTTAAAGCAAGCCCTGCTTGGTTCCACGTGGCCAGAAGCACCTTTCTAGCAGTGGAGAGAACCATTTACACATGCCAAAACTCTACCTTTAACCTCAGCTTCCACTGAAGTCAGAGAGCACATCCTGGCCCAGAGAGAAATAATCAAAGACAGAAAAAAAAGTATCATAATTCAAGCATCGCAACAGGGTGTTTGGGCCACTACAAAACTTCAGTACATTCCCACACATACACTGGGTATTCTTACGTCAACTGCCACTACTTGAACTGAAATCTTAGCAGGAAACCCAAAAGAGCCAACGCAGCCAGGTTGAAGCAGGGTGGTGATCCAGGAGTAGCAAACAGCTTTTTTCCAAAGACATCATGTTAACAAGTTCTATGTCATAACTACATTTCAGAGCAAAAGCCTATTTTAAGGAAGCGTGAGCAGCAAAACCTGCAGAAGCTCAATCTCTGAGCATTACGTACCACACAAAAACATTTTAGTCTGAATGGAGACAGTGAACAGAAAAGCTACAGCAGCATTGCCCAGAAATTCTAAGTAGCCACAGCCAGCAATCCCAACCATTGGCACCAGGTAACACAGCCAGTGGGGACTTTTCTCCTCAACTTTCTCCAAGTACTTTCTTTCATCAGTTGTCCAGGTTCACCTCTTCTTCCTAAGGTGCTACCACTACCCCCAGGTTAGGGCTTTGATGGGTCAGAGAAAGGTCAAAGGATTCTGCAAAGAATTCAAAGACAAGGCAGTGAGCTTTCCTCATTCCCACCAGGTATTCCAGACCTCAATCCTCACATGTCTGCACAGTTGTCCAAAGGTCCAGCAGCGCTACATACCCATGAAAATTATTTCACTGCCTCCCAAGACATCCTACCACTTATGCCTCCTGCCTGTTACTTGTCTTTCAGTAAATGTCTGTATTTTCCTGCATTTAATAAATCCGACTTGGATAAAACCCAAGAATGTTTCCAGTATTTTTCTATTGCTGGCTGAGGGCACAATAGTTTTTGCCCCTCTCATCTTGAGAGCCCACTTAGAATTTACAAGTACTCATCAACCTTTAAGACAAAAACCAACCCTGTACCTTTCACAATCCAGTGAGAAAAATTAATCTCAGAATTTTTTAAGACAGACTTGAAGAAAAATTATAAGTACTGTTAAAAAACCCCAAACTCTTCTCTTACTGTGGAAATTTAACTTTTCTGCCACACGAATACAACGTAACCACGAATTCCCTAAGCCACGTGCTCTGTGTTTTCCCAAACAGATGCTCATTCACAAGAGTGGTTTAAACAAAGGAGATAAGGTTACAGTAATCTCAAGATAAAAACGTAACAACTTCACTGTTTACTACTAAGTTCCACTAATAACCAGAAGTGCCACGTGCTGCAGATGGATATGAAAAGAAGGGACCTGCATCCAAGGGCTTGCTGTCCAAGAACACTAATTTCCTAAGGAACGAAGTCTGTTCTGGTGGAAGCTGCTTCCCAGCAGGCACGTTCACAGACGTGGCAGCACAGGGATTCAGTAATACCACGCAGCAAGGTGCTGCACACCTTCCCAGGTGGATAAAGCTCTGGATAAAGCCCCTGTCTGCTCAGATGAGTTCACAGCCCCGCCTGCCTCCCTGCTCATCCCTGGCACGCAGCACTCCGAGCACGCAAGTCTCACAAAACTCTGTCCTAGGAAATGTTGGGTGCAAGGTATTTTAATTTTCAGTGGCTGCATTTCCACAGAAGAGCTGTGGATGGCAACAAATTGCTTCTATTATGCAAATGAAACTGCACACTTGGAAATTGCCGATGTGGCTCTTCTGAAGATGCAGGAATTGCCAGTGTGGAAAGTTCAATTTAACAAGCCAAGTCTTCTCAAAGCACTGAAACCACAAAACACAGAATCTCTCTTGCTAATTTCCCACTGTACTTGACTGCAGGTGTAGAGGGAGAATCATGGAATTCACCTTCAAATTATGATTCCTTTAAAAATAAGGAAATTGGTTTATGTAAATACTTGTGGGGTGCACACGCAAAAAGCCATATCAATACTTCTGACAATAACCAACAGAAACATTGCATGATTCCACACAGGAATCCTTTAAAGCAAGTTGTCTCTCATGAGGGTTAACGTGTAGAAAAACCTATTTATACCGTAAGATTTCTGTTTTACAGAGAGAGCCATAGCAACTGACATGATGGCAGAGAGCCCTTGCCAAGAAAAAATAAATAAACGAGGTATTTTGTTGAATGGCCAAGCTGCTGTCTGCATTGCCCTCTGAATTCTGCAAACTAGGATTCAAAGGGAGCGTGCTGTGCTCATGAATGAAATACCTACAGACAAAACAGTCCCACACACCCAACCACGCTCCTGTTGGAACAAAAGTCCTGTCACACCGCTGGACATTGTTCTGACCCTCCAAAGCTGGCCCAGCCGTCAGCAAACTGCACTTAAAACACCACCCGAGTAGAAGAGAGTTCCTGAAAGCACCCGGGCTGTTCTGGCTCCCCACACAATGGCTGGATTCTTTGAAATCCACATCTCGTGCCCGGCGTTATTGGACACACGTCCCGATTCTTTGTCTGGCTCACGCCAACGGGCCCGTTCCCGTGCTCAAGGCCATTTAAAGCTTAAACAATCCATTTCACCCCAATAACGAACACGTTCAATTCTGTATTTCCCCCTCTTCTTTTAACGCAAACAAAGCGTGAGCTGAGGATTGCAATAGAAGTGTCCCCTGATTTCACCAGGTACAAACCAGCTGAGTGATGCAGATCAACACTAACCCAAGGGATTTCCCCGTGGATTCCGTATGTTTACAGAAAGTATTTTAAGGTACACACGCACAAAAACTACCGAACGGTCACAACTTGCTGGAAGAGAGATTCACTCTTGAGTCACACTGGCACTGCTCTTTATCCCATCCCCGGTCCCCGCACCGACCGTGCAGAACACGGCAGCGACCGCTTCGCTGTATTGTCTCAACACCTCGTGAGGGTTTTTCTAACAGAAGCCGAAAAAAAAAGAGACAAAAGCGGGAAAAGGCCAAAACAAGCTGAAGGCCTAACAAAAAGGACTTATTCGGTCGGGGTATAACCTTTCATTACACGATTTAAGGGAGGTTCCAGGGGCAGTTTCGCGCTCTCTCCCGGAGCGCCGGTGGGAGACGATCGCGCTCGGCTTTGCTGCGCTTTTACGCGCAAACCTCGGGAACTTGGGAGGTAAAATAAATAAACAAACAGGCAGCGACAAAAAACCAAAACAAACTCTCGGGAGCTTTACGGGGGTATTTTTAACATGTTTTGTGGGGCTTTTTTTCTTCCCGGAACACTTCTTGGAGCGCTCTTTCCCCCCGGCGCGGGCGGCGGGGCAGCCCCGGGCCCGCTCCCCGGGCCCTTTGTCGGGGCAGGCGGCGGGAGGTGCCGGGCCCGACTCTCCGCCCGCCCGTGGCCGTGGCGCCCGGCCCGGGACCCGCGGGGGTGTGCGATGGGCCGGGGGGTGCGGGGGGCGGCGGGGGGCGGCGGGGAGGGGGTTCGGCCGCACAATGGAGCCGCCTCTCGCCCTCACACGCCGCCGCCGCCTTCATGTGACTCGCGGAGGAGCGAAATGGCTGCTGGGTGCCGCCGGCTCCCCGCCCCCCGCGGCCGCCGCCGAGCCCCGGCCCCGCGCGGGGCCGGCGCGGGGCGCGGGGAGGCGCGGGGGGGACGCGGGCGCGGGGGGTCCCGGCGCGGCGCGGCCCGCTCACCATTTGCGCACTTTCTCGATGGCCGCCATCACCCGCTTGATATCATCCTTCGCCCGGCTCCGGGTCTCGGCCCGCACCGACCGGCCCGACATGCTGCTGGGGGAGGGGGGGGGCGGCGGGCTCGGCGGGGAACGCGGCGCTCGGCGCGGCCGGCGGCTGCGGTGCGTGTGTCGGGGCGCCCGCCCGCACAATGCCGGCGCTGCGCGGGGCTCGGCGCGGCTGCGCTCGGCGGCTCCGCTCGGCTCCGCCCGCCCGCCTGCCCGGCGGGGCCGCGCACCGCGCACGCGCGGCGCCGACAGCGAAGGAGCGGGGCGGGGGCGGGCGGTGGCCGCCGTGAGGGCAGGGCGGGTGGCGGGGAGGGCGGTCGGGGGTGTGAGGGACCGATCGCGGGCTGCCCTCGGGGCTGAGGGGACGCCGCGGCCACAAAGGGCCGTCCCCAGCGGGGACCGGCGGAGGAGGTGCCCCGGCGGAAAGGAGCCCGCGCGGGCGGGAGTCCGGAGGCGGCCGCCGGCCCCGCGCGCGCGGCGCTGCCAGAGCTCCCGTTGCTGGTTTTTAACTCCACGGTTTTCCCTTGGAGCGCAAGGCAACGCTCCTTCCCCGCCTCCACCGTGCTCAGGCCGTAACTTAAAATTTAAAAGTTTGTCCAATTTCAGGTCACCTCAACACATCAAGGGCGGTTGGATACTGGGACGGGCTGCCCAGAGAGGTGGTGGAATCACCGTCCCTGGGGGTGTTTAATCCAAGACTCGACGTGGTACTCAATAATGGGGTCTGGTTGACAAGGTGACGATCGGTCACAGGTTGGACTCGACGATCTCAGAGGTCTTTTCCAACCTGATGGATTCTGTGATAAACCAGTGCAGTCTAACAGCATCTTGGGCAAAACTAAATTTTATTGCAAAGCAGAACTGGAGGGGCTTTTAGAAAGCTCAAAGCACTTTACATAGAAATAATACCTATTTTTGTGCAGGGCAGCCCCGGGGCTCTGTGTGTGACAGACACACATCCCGCCCTTGTGCCAGTTGCTGTGGCAGACCCCGAGTGCAGGGATGGGCGATGCGCTCTGTTAGCAAAATATCCCTCCTTAAATGGGATAAATAAATCATAATAATAACATAACCTGTAAGAAGCACATTTTGATTTTTTTCCCCCCAGTGGTTATAACGTTTCTCAGCTGCCTTAAATAATTCCAATGATTTTTGTGGAATTATACTGGTTTTAAGCAGTGGAGGATCAGCTCCAACACAGATCCATGGAAGTACATGAACATAAAGGGTAAAGGGGCAGAGTTACATGTGAGGTGATGCTCTGCAGGACGTTTGTCACAGACCTGCGTTCTCTGGTCCTGTTACTGCTGGACTCCCTCATTAACTTCCCCCTAGTGCACACCTTGCTGCTCTTGCTAATTGTACAATCACAGATGTTCTCAGTACACAACAGCGATCTCTGTTTAAAAAACATTGCCTCTGAAAGGAACGCTTCTTAAGGGCCTACATTATTATTCAAATTGATGCCGAGGATGATGTAAAGAAGGAAGCCGTGTTCAACAGCACTTCACTGATCTTTCTACAGCAACTTGTATCAGCCTCATTATGCTGTTTATACACACAGTGCGATGCCGTCCCATTGGTATTACACTACTAATTGGAATTACTACTTTCAGAAAGAAAAAGTCAGTTTTAAAGGCCAAAAGGGAAACCTGATTTTAATGTACATCACAGCGTTCCTTTCTTTACCGGGGTCTGTTGGATTTATAATTACAGATCCATTCTAACCCATCCAAGCATTTATCAATGTATTTAATCAATACAGTACTTTTACATCGCTCTTCTGCTGTCAGGTTTCACAAATGAATACTGTCTTAACATAATGAAAATAGACTGCATCTGGCATAAACCCACCTGAAATAAATTCTAGGAAGGCTCCAGCCAAGGCTGGGGTGGCCACCTGCTTCATTCTACAGCCACCCCAGTGTTTCCCTACATAGGTGGGAAATTACAGGTTTGTGGCGTGTGCTAAACTGGGGGTTTATTCTAGAGTTTGACTGAAATGCAACTATGTGACCTTTACTTTCTAATAAACATAAAACACAAATTTTGCAGATATTTGAGGAGAGGAGTCTGGAAAGAAGGAACGAACAGAAAACCTTGTGGCAGCTGTGATTCCGAGTCTTTGTAGATCAGAGGTTCGCCTCTTTCCTTCCGTTCTTTTTTTCTTGTGCAGCAATAGGTAAGCCAAGAATGTCAGCAGCAAATATCTCTGCTGTGATTTCTTCTGGAATTTCTTCTTCAATCAAAGCTGCTGCACCTGGAGAGCAGTAACACCACCACAAGACACACAGTAGTGATATAAAAATGGCTTTCCAGGTCAGTAAAATTTGTAAGTGAAGTAACCATAAAAAGTGATGGTTTACTTGCTTAACATTTTATGTATTTATATCAGGAACCTGTCGAATCTGCAAGTCTCACCTTGCAGCAAGTCCCTGCCTGAGAGGGGTCATGGGACAACTTTTACACTCCAGCAATTTAATGTGATTTTAGGACCTTAAGGAATCCAGGGATTTCGAAGTTGCTTTGCAGCACCAGGCAGTTCCCTTTGGGAGCTGCACCTTTGCTCTGTGCTGCCCATTCCAATGACCCTAAACAGAGGCTATTCCAAACTGGTGGGGACTGGGACACAAATCATACGAAAATGCGGTTCCAACTACAATGGGCAATTAAATACAGCCACTTGGCTGAAATCGATGCCGTAATTTGCTGTTCCAGACTGGTGTGGACTGGGACATAAATTGCAGACAAATGCAGTCGTTACCAACAGCTCTGTTACAATGGGCACTGCTGCCTGGGTGAAACCAGCTCTGGGATTTCCCTGTGTGTTTCTAATTTCAGTTCCAGCCAGCAGATAAACAGCAATGTAATCTTGTCAGGCCCCAGTTATAGTTCATTGTCCATTTATTTTTAGATACACCCGTGTGATTGCTGCGTGGATGAAGGACAATCTGTAGCTCTGTGACTATTTTTGCAATCCTGTCTGAGCAGTTTTGACAGCTCTCTTGGCCTAACAGGGTAAATGGGTTTGAAATTTAAATTGTTCCATTTGGGAATTGAAGCAATCCTGCTTCTGTGCTGTGTGGAATGCTAATCCTGTACCTGAGGGATCGTAGATGTCTGGTTCAGATCCTCGTCTCCCAGGTCGCCTGCCCAGCAGGGTGGTCAGACACTGGGCCAGCTCATCCTCGGTCATCTGCTCTCCTGTACACAACAGAGCAAGGCCAGCCCGTGGGTTATGGGGTCGAGAGCACAAAAACTAGAAAGGAATTTGAACGGGAACAGTGCACAAACAGAACAGGACAGTTCAAAAGGAGATTCGGCCTCTCTGTTGCATTTTGGGGAAAAATGTTAATCAAAGGGAGAAATTCTGATGCAGACAGCTCTTTAGGCTGTATTGCACTTGAGCTATATTGCACTTTAGGCTATATTGCTTGAGCTTCTATTCCCGCTGGAGAATTCCTGGCAGAGACCACAGTCTGCGTAGCCATTTTCACATAGAGGAGGAAGAGAAAGGTGGAGAAGTCTTGATTTAGTATCTTGGAATAATGTGGACATGGCACTTGTTCCCAGTTAGCGGTTGGCTCATGCCCTGAAGCATGAGGTTATAGATCTGTTATGAAACTGTGCTATCTCATGTATCTATTTACGGATGTTCACACCATCCATATAAATAACTAACCTTTCTCACACTGGTTGAATCCTTGGTTTCCAAGGATCTTTGTGTCAAGGAGTCTTACCAGGTGATGTACTGAGTCAACCAGCATTTCCCTTTACCTGTTTTAATGCTCGGCTGCACTTTTACACCAGGAGTAAGACAATAAAAGTTTGTTATTTACCACTCTATGGCACTGGCCACAGTTATATTAACACACGCATTTACAATGTTCTTCCTGATTCAGCTCAACTAAACCATCACATCTTTTCAGTCTTTCACACAGATTCAGTTCAGGACTGACTAATTTCATCCCTCTTTTCTTGTGCCCTTTTTATCAGTTTTATACTACCTTGCCAAAGCCTGCTTGACTGTAACAGAGAACAGTGATTCAGATAAGGGCATACTGGAAGAAGGATACATTTTACCAAGATCCATACTCATCATTTGACAGCCAAGATACTTCAGGCCAGCAGAGATTTCCAGAGCAGTAAAAGAAGAGCAGCTGAGACAATAGATGTGATTATTCAATTTAAAATCTTAAAGCAAGCGGCTCCCCACGCCTGCCCTGGTTACCAAACTATAGTTCCAGATTAATTTTTTGCTGCAGTGAATAAGTTCTGAAATTGCAGGCAGAACTAGCAAGCATAAAACTAATATTAGAAGCGAAATAACTCACCTCTGCACTGAAGCAGAGACAGTAAGTCTCCTCTGTCAATAACTTTGTCTCCCTTCTCGTTATCATAACCAAGAACCTGAAACGCTCGTTGTAGGCTTTTCATCGACAAGCCAAGCGCAGGTCGATGATTTATATAAAGTTTGATAAAATCCTCCAAATTGATTTCTGTCACTTGTTCTCCACCATCCATGTACTTGCTGAATTTTACCTCATTTATCATTTCTTCAATCTAAAGATCAAGACAAGACAGATTGTTACACATTTTTTGCAGAGCATCGGGCCAGTTTCCGATCTGGTGAATGCCGATGTACCATAACCGTGCACATACTGGTACCACAGTGGGTATCCCAGTGGGAAGCTGCACTCGGCAGCTGAGGATGGGCACGGCCAACAGTTACACACTTGCTGACATGATGACATAAGGTAAAGATGGGGGTAGCACGCACGTTGTCATTTTGGATTTCCTCTCTCATGACGGGCACTCGGTGACTCTGCAGCTGTTACCGGAACCTTTGCCACAGCTGCGCCTCCACTCTGGGGACAGCGGGCAGGCAAACCACAAACTGGTAAACACACCATCCCTGCTGCAGGAGCACGTGCATGAGAGTCCCCACGTAACCAGGCTGCACACCCTGGCTGGCACGAACAATCTTCCCCCCTTCTGACACGTGTCTGGTGAGGTTCTGCCACCGCACAAGCCAAATCCAAACATGCTCAGTGCGGCTGACAGCCTGCACTCTCCTCTCGGACAAACAGCAAGCACTGGCCATGCTGGGTGGTTTTACTGAAGTCTGGTGCTGTGAGTCAGCCCCGCTGGCAGCTGTGCAGATGTGTGTCCAAAAGGCAGCATCTGCTCCATGCCCTCATTGTACTCGCAGCCCCTTCAGAGGTACAGGGGCAGCAGAGAAACGCCGGGAGAATTCCCCGTGCCAACACGTACCAAGCCTGCTGCTCCCCGGGAAGAGAGGCTGATGCAAGATCTCCCCGGGGAGGACTTTGCATTCAGCCTTGGGCCTTTGTCCTTGTGTCACAAGTTTTTCCACTGAATGAAGCCTGGGGAAGAGGGAAATCTCAGCCTCATATTTTTCTTGTAGCGAATGTCACGCCAAGCAAGAACAGTCATTTTCACTCAGCTCTGGCTGAGCTGGGATTAGGTTTTATATCAATCCCACTGAACTACAAAAGAAAAACACCAATTCCCAAAAGCTTTGCTAGTCAGTCCAAGCTGCCTTTTCTCCCTCCTGCTTTTCCTATATTAAAACACTCCAGAGAGACGAACTTTCTGGATTTTATTACTGTCCTGCCTGCCTCGAGGAGCAGATTGTAGGTTGCCTGGTTTCACAACAGCTTAGCACCTCTGTTTCCATGCCTGAAACGCTGTTTATATTTTAATTTGGGGTGGGAGGCGGGGAGGGGTTATCAATTATTCTTTCAGAGACATGTCCCAGGGGACTATATTCTCCTTGTCCCCAAGAGGCAAAAATGTAATAACCCAAGGAAAAGCTCTAACACAGTATGAGGGGATAATGCCACAGCTTGACACCAGGGCAAAGCAGCTCTGGCTCAGACAAACATTTGCTGGTTGTGGGGGCTCCAAAGCACGTCTGTTAGATGGTAGCTGTGACAAAGGTCCTGCCTCCCATCTGCTGGCTCTCCTGGCAGAGCATCCCTGGGCAGATGGGGTGGCACTGACTCACAGCACCGTCTCAGCAGCCTGTGGGTTCATGTGCCATGGCAGAGATGAACAACCTCCCCTGCGGGCAGATGAAGGGAGCTCAGTGATGCACCATTTCCCTGGGGAGAACCCCTCTGCAGTGACAGGACTGTGGCTGGTGCAAAGAGGCCATTATTTAAATCTCCTTGCATCAGATTCAGTAATTTTTTTTGTATGTGCTTTAATTACCCTTTTGTCAGGTTACACATTACAAATGAGGTTTGTATACAATACAAACTGCCTTGGAGAAACAGCCACAAAAGGAGAAGGAACGGCACCCTTATTAACAGTTGTGTCTGTCTGCTGTTAAATGTGAAGCTAAAAAGCTCCTGAGAAATGTTTGATAGGAAGCTCTGCTGTTGCAACCTTAAAGGCAACCTCAGAGGGAGCTTCTGCAGGGTTTATCTGTTAGTGAAAGAACTTTACATTCCATGGGAGTAAACGCCACTGTCTTCATCTAAAATCATTCTTTCATCAGTCCCAAGCAGAACAAGAAAGAGAGGCTCTGTCAACATCCAAATGAGTGACTGCATTGAGCTGGACATTCTCACCCACACTGGTAGCACATATAGGACATTCTGGTTGAGTCTCCATCCAACCTGGAGGGACTCAATCACATCCTACCAACGACATGCTGCTCAGCCACTAGTACAAGTCACAGAGGGACCAAAGCACTTTACCCACGGACATTGGAAGGTTGGAGGCTGCTGCCCTTGGGAGCCAAAGGAAGATTCATTCCCCTACTTTCACCTTCTGAAGAAACCCACCTCTGAAGTGGTGGCAGAGCCCCCAACCTCCAGAAGACCCTGAGGTTGTCCTGTTGAACGCTTCTGAACCATCAGGCTCCAGGTTTGCTCAGCCCCGGTGGTTTCCCAACTTGCTAGCAAGGAATCATTACTTTCTGAGGAATTTGCTGCCAGATTCTGACCACTACTGTATTGATGCAGACCAGTTAAATACATTGAAAGCCAACAAATATACCCTGGAGCAATCCAACATGGCAATGGTCAGAATATGGCCCTCGGGACACTTGGTAAATGCAATCAGTCTTGCTCTTTTTTCTTTTAATAACAACAATAAAAACAACTGACCAACCTCTTCCTCTGATGGATAAAATCCTATTGCTCTCATTACAGAAGGAATTTCCTCCAAGGGAATGTGCATTGACACCTGTCTGTTCTCCAGTGTATTCGTACCTTGGCTGCATATCTGTGCATAGTAAAAATAGTCTTCCAGTTCCTGCCAGGGATTCAAAAGAATACTGTGAAGATCAGTTAACAACAGACGTGGAAGATAAGGCTCCTTTTAGGTTTTACTAACAGGCATATCAATGGGATTGTTGTTGAAGGTGATCTGGACAAAAAATAAGGGAATGGCTGGCCTGTATAAATGAATCTTAAACTCCAACCAGATGTGGCCAGACGGTGTTCACAGTGAGCATAATTACCCTGAAGAATTCGCCTTCTCTGCCACCATCCAGGAGGTTGTAGAATGGGATCATGTCCTCCCCACCCAGGAAAGCAGCAGCATCCAAGGCACTGGCAGAAGTAGAGAAAAGAAGGTACAGGAAGGGTTCATGTGAGGAGAGGTTTCACGGTTCCCTTTCTAGTCATTGTTCACATACACTTTCAATAAATAAAATCCCTGGGCCTCAGAATTCAGGAAAGAAAAGCACTGCCTTGAACCATGTGCTATTTTATCATCAGCTGCACTTCTACAGCATATTTCATACACAGGTTTTACATACAATAGCACAGTGTGGGAATTAATTATTACTGAATGGTCCTCTTGTTTAGTGGAATGAGTACGGGGCTGGGAGCCAGGAGCTTTTCCATGGACTTGAACTTAGTGTCTGGCATTTAGCTTTTCTGCTTCCTTATAGAGACATTGAGGGAGATGAATTAGCTAGATCAGCATTTTGAACATGCAGAGAAGGCCGGGGCTTGGTGTTTGCAATAAACCACACAAACCCAAGCTCCCTGTTCCTTGATCTAACACGTTTTTCCCCAATAACTCAGTGCAATCCATTACTCCACTTCCTGAGCTGTGGTGGGTGACGGTGTCGCAGGTGCAGTCGGCATTAGACTGCAAGCGCCTCAGTAGCCACCTCTTTGTTTCAATTTCATAGGCAGTTGGAGCCAAAAGAATCCATTTGGCTTGTGCAGATGTAAAGAGAAACCAAGCCTGGAAGTGCAACCATGGCGTAGCATTGCCACATAATATACCCCATGCCTGGCAGCAGGGCTGCAGCTCTCACACACCTCGGCAGTGCTGCTTCCACTGGGGTTTTTTTGCAAGCTTCATGCTTTTTTCATAATTAAGTTATCTGGGTATTAAACACAGTGGAGATGCACGAGATGCCAGAAGCAGCAATAAAATGATAATTAGCTCATCAAGAACTTCGCTCAAAAAACAAATTACATAGAAATTCAATGTTGCCTGGACCCTGGCCAACCATTATAAAGAAGGATCATTTATATTCTATTGCCTTCCTTAAAATGTCGCTTATCCTGACCCCCGACTGCTTAAGCCATACAAAGTGGAAAAGAAAATAAATAAACCCATTGCTTTCCCAACCAGGTTTCCTTTGTTCTGGCACATGAAGGTGAGCTGGCTCAGCACCCTTTGGGCTTTCCTCAGAGCGAGTGGTACCTGTAAGAAGTGTTTTATGCAGGACCAGCACATGTCCTAAGCACAAAGCCTTTGTCCTAGGAAGGTGAGGGTTTCACAGGTGCACACCAAAAGGCAAACACAGGAGAGAGAGCTAAAAGCCAGCTCCCATGGGGTTGATTTGCCAGAAACCAGGAGACGTGCTCTGTGTTAGCAGGGTGATGTGCAGGATTTAAAAGAAACAAGCCAGCACAGACTGACAGAGATCATGCCACACTATCCCAGCTCTGCCATGGACTAGGCTCCCTTTCCAGTCCCTGAAGTGTGAAGTCATTCCATGCTGGCCTGGAGCTTTCCTGTCATTCACAGCTCCTTTCTATGTCAGGTGTATCTCCTGGGCACCTGCAGCCACGCCCGCAAAGGGGAACCCTCTGCCCTGCACAGGTGCTACAACCAGTAGCTTTCGTCCTGGACAGGCAAAGAAACCAAAATATATATCCTGCCTTTGCTGCCACATGGGAGCACACGTCTGGCACTGCTGCTGAGGGAGCTGGCAGAGGAAAACTTGCAGAGAACGGGGGGAGAAGCCTGGCAGGGTTCATCGGGGATGTTCCAGGCCAGAGCCTGGAGATCCTTGTTTTTTAGAGCTGCCTTCACTCTTCCAGCCACCCCATTTACTGCAGCTCGTTTATTCATGTAAGCAAAGCTTTATAGGATTAAGGTGGCTTGTCTAAATCCAGTCTTCAAATGCAGGGGGGATTTCCCAGCAAATGCCTATCCCATTTGGAGAGCAGACACTTTTGTATGAGCAGTCACCCCGTGCACTCCTCCTGCAGCCAGTACTGCTGCTCTGGTCCTGGCCTAACCCTGACAATCTCCCATCACACTGGCCAGGCCCTCACAAGGACCACAGAATCCTCTGCCCAACTTCTTACCATTTGGGTACCATTTCCCAGATTGGAATATTTTATATGTGTTATGTCCATCCCCTGCGAGGTTTGCTGGCTTAATCCCCACTATGACTATGCAGATGCATCACATGGAGGGGAACAAAACCCTCCAAAAATGTGTCCCTCCTGTTTTAGCTGACACCCCACACAGCTGCTTGGGGCCCAACAGGTCATTACAATGTAAGCTGACCCCACTGCCATGCCCCCATCCCCAGTGTCACACGTGCCCACCATGCTGAACTCTTACTAAGCTATTAATGACCCCAGTATCATGCCAGGTGTCTGGGAGCTGGCAGCCCACAGGACTGAGCAGAGATGCTGCCAGCCTTCACTCCTGCTCCCCTCAGCGAGTCGTGGGTCTCCTGCTTCCATGAGTGCTGGGGCCTGTCCTCCACCTCATGATCCCCCTTGCCAGATGCAGTTTATTGGCCTGGTCGTGGGCACATGCTGTGGAAGGAGAGAGAAGCTGCAGGACTTTATCACCTGCCTCCAGAGGACCCATGTTCAAGAGAGCCCTGCAAAGAAACTCTCCATGACCAACCACTCTGCCTGCTTTAACTCCTCTGGACACAGACACCTGGCACAAAAACGGGACAAAAGCCCCATTTTCAGTGTAAATGCTAGAGAGCATTTGCTTCAACTGTGGGAAGTGGTAACAGGACTCCTTTCTCCTTCCTGCCATACTCACCTTAGGTTGACCTTCCATTTCATAACAGTGCAGTCTCTCCCCCCCGCTGTAAAGATGTAACGCCCGTCATAGGAGCTGGCAAGGTCAGAGGCACCATCTGGGTGGCAAATGAAGGCTGAGGACTTGTGGGGGTTGCCATCAACAGGCAAAATCTGCAAGCCCACCTGTAAAGAGAGAGAGTGAGTCTGGGAGGGCTGGGGGTCCTACAGAAGGCCTGGGGCACTGCACACTGGGGCAGTGCTGCCTCCTCCTCCCAGGAGCTCGCTCAGCTCTCAGGCAGGACCAGCCTATACATGGTTTTACCTCGAGTGAAATTCCTGAAGGACTACCAGCTCTGCAAATGGTGGCTCTTGTACAGCTGGGGCAGGTGGGGCTCCATACCTTGTCCTTTGTAATGTACACCAGGTAGTACTGCTTGGGGTCCGCAGTGCTTGTTGCTGGGAGGATTTGTATCTTCTCCAATGGGGAGCCATAGGTTGGTCCCAGAAGGGTCTTTCTAAAGGCAAACAACATATTTATCCATTCTAGAGCTCACAAAGCACTTTCCTTCTCTAAACAGCTGCTGTGTGGAAGGATGGGTAGATATGGGAGGTGTGGGGGTGCAAAGGCTTTGTACTACTGGCTGAGAGAACAGGACAGGACAGGGTTCCTGGCTAGAAGGGACCACACTGGGGCTCAGAAATTAATTTAGTGCTCAAGGATTATTGTGCTTTGCTTATCTGGATTCCTGTCTCTTTATCTGATGTTGAACAGTTGCGTCTCAAATCCAATGAGCAGACCAAGACCCATTTGAAGCCACAGCCTTACTAGATGACATAGTAGTGAACAGCAGAGTGGACTCAACTGACCTAGGGGTCATCCCAAGATCTGCATCACGGATGTACAAACACATTCTCATGGGTGGGAGTAGGGTGGTCATTAGACCAAGGAGAACACAGGGTCAGGATGGGGGTCCCGGGCAGCTGTAGGCCTGAATCAATCCTCTACCTGCACATTTTGGTTGTCGTGTTGAGGAGCTTCATTTTGTAGCAGTTGTTGGCAGTGAGGATAAAGGACTCGGTGCTGAGCTGTGGGTACCAGGCCAAGCACAAGGGCACCGCACTCTGCTCCACCCGGTCCCTGTGTGTGACCACCAGGTGGTCCTTGATGCTGCTGCTCAGGTCATATTCAACCTGGAGGGAAGAAAAGGAAACAACTCCCCTGTGGTCTGCCAGCACCCTGGACCTTGTGGATTAACTGGATTTAGCATCTCTTGGAGAAGCCTGCAGTAGCAGAGCCTCAGCCCTGAGATCAGGCTGAGAAACAACCTCCAGCAATCGAGCTGGTGGGGAGAGGGTTGGGAGCCACAGAACCACACACGGAGTCTCCCTTGATGTCCTTGTCCAGCTCTGCCACTTTAACCACAAATCTTTACTGTCCATTAGACTTTCACATCCACCCACCAGCTGCCGGTCCTCCCCGAGGCTCAGGAGCCTGGGCTCGTTGCTGCCTGACTGGACTCCAAAGAGGATGCTCCGGATGGGTTTGTAGTGGGAGTCCAGCCCTGCCAGGTGTTCCCAGCATCTGCGCCCGTTTTGCAGGACTTTCTTGTAAACGATCACTGAGTATTTCTCATCCTGCAATGACAGCACAAAGGTCAACGAGCCACAATACCCACACTCATCCCCTGCTTCCTCTCTGGGCTTAGCTTGGCCCTTTCAGTTTTGAAGTCCCATGAGGAGGTTTAGAGTCACAGCCAGGATAAAACACTGGGCCAGACAGATTTGGGCAGCTGCTCCCAAGAGCAGCACCACAGCAGCACCACAGCAGTCCTCAGCCTGGCCGGAGCATCCGAGCCATCTCCTGCTGTGCTCACACAGAGGGGCAGTAAATTGAGTTCTGTGACTCCCCAGAAATCACAAGGAAGATGCTTCCCACTGCTGTGTCCTGGCATATGTGCAGGAAAGGGGAATCTTTTCTTTGAACAGATCGTCACCAGTTGCTACAATCTCTGTGCCAAATTGCCTCAACACTGCCTTGACACTGATACATGGGATGGAGGGAGCAGCCCCCCTCACAGAGCACCAACCAGGAGGAAATCCCTGCTCCAGCCCTTCCTACAGATGGACACAGAGCTAAGACTTGTCACTAAAGTTAGCGATGGGACGCTGCCAGCAGCGGCTCTGCGGAGCAGCTGGGACTGGTGACGCTTTTACAGAGTGACTCTTTGAGCCAGGAAAAGCATTTCAGAGTCACGAAGCCTCGGGGGAGGAACAGCCCTCCGTGCCTTGCAGGACGGGTCGGCAATTCCCAGTCCCTCCCAAAGCTGCAGGACGAGCAGCGCATGTAAATCACCGAGCGGAAAAAACAAGCTTACAGCGGTCGCGAGGTACTCGGAATTGTGAGAGAAGCTGATGTGAGTCACAGGACCCCGCGAGAACCGGAGTTCCTTGCAGCTGGACTGAAGGGAAATCGCATCGAGGATGTGAACGCTTCCATCAGTAAAACCAGCGGCCAGAAAATAACCTGGAAGACATGCCAGAAAACTCTCACGGCTCCACCGCTCCTCCCGGGAAGCCCAGTGCCCGGGAGGAGGTCACACAGGGAGGTCACGAGGCCAGGATACCTTCAGGGTCATAGGCTAAGCACTGGATGCCAGCCTCGGGGAATATCCTGCTAGCCAGGTACTCGGTGTGCTGGTAGTCCCACAGCTTCAGCAGCCCACAGGGACTCCCCACGGCCACCAGTGTCTGCTGCGGGTGACAGGCGATGGCACTCACAGCTTTCTTCGCCTCTTCCAGGACTTTTTCAAAGTTTGCGCTGTCTGTTGCAACATGGAACACAGTTGCATCAGAGGTTGAAAGGATAAAGTTCCTGTTTAGCGTGAGAGAAACAGAATTTGATGAATCAGACTCGCTGGCTCATGTCCCTCCAAGCTATATTACACATCAGTCTCTTTTTGCAACTTAGTTGGACGATCCCTTATGTTTTGTGATATGCAACATGCAAACCCTCCTTGACCTGGAGGGCAGGTGGCACTTTGTATTCATGACCTGGGAAATCGTCACAGGAAGATACTGGAGCCAGGTCCATTTTCTACTTGGCTGGGCAAGCCAGAAGACGAATGACATCTGGGGAGCTTTTGCTGTTTGCAAGTTGCTGGTGTGTGAGACAGACAAATGAGCAATTCAAGATACTCTGAATAGTCTTTTCACGTGTCTCCACGCCACCATTGTCAGTGGCTCCACATTGACCACCCTGCCACGGACAAGGTCAGAGGACAGTTTCAGTCCCACAGCACAGACAGGATGGTTCCTGTCTGCTCACCCAACACAGCAGAGAGGGTCTCGCTGTGGCACTGGGCATGTGTGAAGCAGAAATCTGAATAATTATGCACAAATATGTATAGTCTCAGTCTGGCTGAGGTCTGAGGGTCTGGACCCAGTTAAAGGGATAAGAGAGGACCACACAGAAATCCCAGACTGGTTTGGGTACAAAGGCACCTTAAAGTTCATCTCATTCCAGCCCCCCTGGCACAGGCAGGGACACCTTCCACTAGACCATATTAAGCCTATATCCAACCTAACTCTGCCCTCTGTCAATATTAAGCCATTCCCCCCTTGACCTGTCACTCCACATCCTTGTCCAAAGTCCCTCTCCAGCTCTCTTGGAGCCCTTGAGGTACTGGAAGGTGCTATAAGGTCTCCTTGGAGTCTTCTCCAGGCTGAATCCTGGAGTTGCATAGACAGAGGTGTGGCTGCACGAGTGGGGAAAAGCAGCCTCTTTGCCAGCTGGCCTGTGACAGCCATCACTTCATGCACATCTGGCCCAGGCACTGATGGACTCTGTGCCTCTTTTGTGCCTTAGCTGGGCTCTCCAGCCATTCCTGATCCCACCAGCCTGCCGAGACAAACAGGCTCAAGGTTTCCCCTTTGACTTTCTGCCTTTTGTGCTGCCCAGAGCAGCTGCAAGCGGCAGGAGCTGCAGCAGCAACCCAGGAGGAGGGATGAGACAACAGGGACCAGAGACAGGGAAACCAAACCGTTCCCCAGGGCACTGCTCCAGGTTGGAGAGGAATCTGTCCCACATGGCTCTTTGGAAAACACGTGCGGCTGAGAAAAGACGTTGCCAGGAGAGCCTGAACGGGAGTGACAGACATATGGTTTGCAGGCTGGATGGAGCCACACAACAGCTTCATCTGGCCTGCAGACTCCCTATAAATCCTCAGGCACAGTTACATCACACAGAGGGACAGAGAGGGGCTGGTGACCAGGCTGGGGCTGTCCCAAGCTCCTGTGTTGTTGAGGTGGTGCAACCCAGCACTGGTGCCACTGCCCCGATCAGCTTGGCAAGCCATGATAAAATCCAACTGGATATAGCCATCCATGGGAGGGGCTTAAGGGGGGGATTAAGGGGCCCAGAGAGTGCTGGAGGCTCGGCATTAGCACTGCCTGGTGTGCTGGGGATGTGACAGAGAAGCTGATCATCACCCTGCCCGCACTGATGCCGTGTCTGTGCCAAGGCATCACATCAAGTTCAGAATTTAGGATGTGCTGGAGCCCCTCTGGAGTTTACAGCTGCTAGGAGATGCCTGTGGTCTGCAGGCAGAGAGGGATGCCCAGGAGAGACCCCATGCTTCTCTCTGGTGGGTAGGTGGGACAAACACCTCAAATGGAAAAGAGGAATAAAGGGACACGTTCCTTTCCATCCTGCCTCCCTGTCCATGTCCTGCCCAAAAGCCTGGGCACAGGGTTGAAACCTGCTCCAGACCGGGCAGAAGCCCACAGGGCAGCTTTCACTGACCACCTTCCAAGCTGTTACAAACCACCTCCCCAGGTTCCACTGACACCTCCCCGGCTTTCAGCTGCAGGGCAAACACAGGAGAGGACCTGGGTTTGTAAAGAGGCACTCACCTGGTGAGGAAGGGCCAGCTTCTGGCTGGGAAGGCATCAGGAGGATCACGAAGGGTTGTGGAGAAGGAGAGGGACCGAATGGGACCCACTTTGCTGTGGCTGTAGAGGCTGAGCAGCATTAGCTCCCCATCGTAGAATTTAATGTGCCCTTTCACATCACCTGTTACTATACAGCTGCAAGGAAAGGAAAGTTATTAACCAACACACTGATTGACAACTCCCAAATATTTCTTGCATAGCACCCTTAGGCAGAAGGAAATCTCTTCCCCATTTCTCGGCACAAGGACACGAGCAGAGCCCTGCATTGATGTGCGGGGGAAAGCCCAGGGCTGTGCAGAAACCACCGGCTCTGCTGCGACCCTGGGTGTCCCTGCCCTGTCCCCAAGGCTGTGACCCTGCCCTGTCCCTGCTCTGTCCCCAGAGCTGTCGCGGCGTTTGGTGGCTGTCTGCTCCCTCTGCCGGTGACGGCCAGGAGGCTGAGCCAGTGTCTGAGCCAGCCCAGCAGAGCTGGCATCACATCACCGTGATGTTCAACCTTATTTTTCCCCCCAGCCAAATCCATCCCCGGAAAATTACACACAAACCAGCAGCACTTTCCTCCAGAGTTTTCCTGGTCCTCTCACGCTGCCAAGAGACTTAGAACTCCAACACTTGGCTGTAGTTCTCTGCTGCTGCTGTGGCTGAGATACACAAGGACTGTATCTACAGCTACTGAAAATGGCCTCCCCCTTACCTCTCCAACACCTGGAGCACGGTGAGACTCTCCTTCTGCAGAGACACCATTTTGGTGGGGGTCATTCCGAGAGGCCTGGCCTGCTGCTCCTTGGGGTCAGTTCGGGGATCAACCGCATCCCACACCACCACCTTCCCGGCCGAGGTGCCCGTCAAAGCTTGGGAGTTGTTAAAATGGAAAACTGACTGGCTGAAGCGTCCCACCACACTCCTGAAGGTCTGCAGGGAGAGCAGCGAGGCCATGTGTTCATCCTGAGTGCTGGCTCTGCCCTCCCAAGCAGGGATGTTTCTGCTTGGTTCTCACGTGACATTCCCTCCCTGTCCCATGGCAGGACCACCAGAGACAAGAGCCCCAGGAGAAGATGCACTGGCGCATCCTGACCTCAGCTCAGGCAACCCTGGCTTGTCCCTTCAAGAGACTGAGGGGGACAGGCTGGGGACACGGCCACTGGTTTTGGTTAGAGAGATAGGAAGGGGCAGTGCTGCTGCCAGGAGGAAAGCCAAGAGGGGGACATGCTGTGGTCCCCCTGTGCTCACCTTGTTGCTCAGGAACGGTGTTCCATACTGCAAACCAGCATCACCCTGGGGAAAGCAGAGAAAACATCCAGGACAAGGATCTGGGAGCTGTGCTCTGCAGTGCCAGCATGTCCCCTCTCCATCACCTGGGCACTGGCACCACACCGTGGTGACCAAAGCAGGGCTCCTGAGGCAGAAAAGCTCTCCAAGACCTTCCAGAGAGCACAAAATCACCCTTTCCCTCTACCTGCTCCTCTTCCAAAAGCTGCTGACTGGCACGAGGCACATGAGGGCCCACAGGAAAGCAGGAGTGGGAGAGGAGGAGAGCATCCCTGCCACAGCTTGGACTGACCCAGTGTGGGAATAGAGGGAGGGCTACACTCTGCCAAGACCACCCTGGAGTCTAGAGAGGGCAGGGAGTGGGGAGGGCAAGGTGGGTGAGGGCAGGGGCAGTTCTGCAAACCAAAGTGTGACTCCAGTCATGGGCAGACACATGACCCCACAGCCTGTGCTGCTTCTCCAGCATGTTCCCCTCCTGCCACCTCCTTTCTGGTACCAGAAACACAACTGTCCACGTCCCTACTTACCCACAGGTAAAATATCACCTGGGTTTTGCTGTTGCTGACAAACTCATGGGGATCTTGAGGGTTAAAAATTACATAATTCTGAAATTGAAAGGTGAGAATTGCATCAGCACCAAGCTGAGTGATGCTTTCTGCTTATTCTTCCATGCAAAACATCTGCTTTTATCCAAAAACCACTTCTCCACTGCACTGAACTGAAAACAGAGGGCAGATTCCCTGTGCTCCCTACTCTGGGAGCGGGGACACCCCCCTTGGGGTCCCCTCTGCACCCCGTGTCTGTCAGGCATCAGAGGAGCAGGGATGACCCCCTGGGATGCTCCATCGCATTGGGTTACCCCAGGGATGGGGTGTGATCCTCCCTCCCATCTCCAGCCAGTATCTAGCAGCAGCCCCATACTGGATGGGAGCAGGGGGGTGGGGCTGCCCAGTTCTGACCAGTTCTGCCCAGTCCAGCCTCTCTGCCCCCCTCAGCTGTGGTCACTCACCTGATACCCAAACTCAGGCCTCAGCTCTGTGCTGCACAGGGGTTTCTCGGTGGGCAAAGTCCACCTCCAAACACAAACTCTCTGGGAGAGAAGGGAAGAAAAGCCCAGATAACACATGTGGCTTTCTGGGAGCTTGGGAGAGCCAGGTGAACCCCATTCCCCCCCTGCTGCAGGGGATGGTGGGGCATAAGGGACTGGAGCAGGGTAAAACCCAGCATGGCCTGGAAGCAGAGAGATTAATTTCAGGAAATAATGCTGGAAATTGCTTCAATGAAAGTGATGAAGTCAGAGGCTTTTATCCCAAATTAAGATGCATTTTCTCAACTCTGCAGCATTGACTTTAATGAAATCCAGGTCTGTCTTCTAATGGCTCAGCAAAATCAAGCCATCACTCTGCAAACCCACTCCCCTTCTCTTCTGCTCTCCCCATCCGAATTCCCCCCTCCCCTGTGCTGCACTGGGAAAAACTTCCATGGCTCTATCCTGGAAAGCCGTGGAAGAGGAGATATTCTCTTTACCTGCACTGTGCCAGCACTAATGGTCACCAGATACTTCGCATCCCGGGAAATGGCGATAGCACAGACCCCGTCCCCCGGGTGGCTCTCGAAGATGGTGCGCACCGGTACCCTACGGAGCAAACACCTCCTGGGGGCTCAGGCAGCACAGGGGTTCAAGGCAATCACTTGGCAAAATCTGCGGCACTGCCCACCCTGGTCTGCATGGAGGAAGGGATGTAGGAAGAGAGGGAAGGAGAGAGGGAGGGAGGGAGGCTACAAACACCAGTGCTGCTGTGGGAGCAGCCAGCACCGTGGCTGGTCCTCAGTGTCCCCTTCCTCCCAAGTAAATGGTGCTGGGAAACAACTCACCAGGGATTTTTAAAGAAAATACTACAGCTTGGAGATGTGATATACTTAGTCTGGGGGAGTTCTGCCCCATCTCATTGTCCTGTGGGTGTGGGTGATACGAGGACAATGAAGTTTGGTTTTGGCTCCTTTGCTGCTTTAGTCCGTCCCTGTATTCTCCCATTTCACCCTCAGCTGAGGCTGGAGTCAGTCCTAAGTGATTTACTAGACATAGGGGGTTTCCAAAGAGGAGGTTCCTGGGAGCTTACCCAGAGAAGGAGTCCCACACAATGATCAGAGCGTCTGGCCCTCGGTCAGCAGTCGCAACCCAGCGCTTGTCCTCACTCACACACAGACAAGAAATGACATTTGCATGGCCCTGGGAAAGGGAAGCAGCAAATAGCCTTGGAGGCTCCAGACCTGGGGCTGTTTAGAGCATCCATCAAGCTGCTCTGCTCACGAGATCACTGCTGCAACCCCACACAAAGTGCCTTCCACCACCACGTGTTGGGAACTGCGACAAGTGCGCGAGCAAACCAACGCGCCCCTTTGCACGGGCAAAGTTGTAGGTGACCCCTGAGCACTGGGAGAAGAGCCAGAGGGAAGGAGTCTGGGAAAAGGGGAGGAGGAGGAAGGAGACGCATGGGTTGTGTGCCAGACCTGCAGGTGGTACTGCCTGTTCCCCAGGACATCGTGGATGACCACTGTGTGGGAGGACACGTACAGGAGCACCCAGTCCTCCCCGTCCATCAGGTCGTGCACAGCCAGGCGGCTGTTGTAGCCAAACACCCAGGACAGGTTCTACAGGGAAGAGGGAGATCCTGGCTCTTAGCAGACAGGACAAAAAAGCCACACAAGGTGTGTGGGGTGATAGAAGAGAGCAAGGTGGGAGCACCAGGTGCCATGTGGACCATCACAGCGGCACTGTACTCGTTGGTACTCACAAGAGAGTGAGGGCTGCTCTCCCTGTCCTTCTGGAATAACATCCCTGGCTTGGCTCCCCACACCAAGCTGGAAGAGCCATCATGTTGGTTGTCCTTACTGCTCCTCTGCTGTGTGTCCTGCTTCCTGCAGCCTGAGTGAGGGCTGGAAATGGCCCCCTTGGGCTCAGAGAGTACTGGGGGTGGTTTAGGGGGCCCAGCACCCTTCAGGCATGATGTCCTAGCAATGTCTTCCCCCAGGGCATCCTGGCTCCCAGCCCAGGTGCTGGGGGGCAGGATGTCTAGGATCCCCATCCCTGAAGGAGTTGATGGGGGACACAATGGTTCTTCTGCTCCAGCATCCTCTGGTGGTCCTTCCTTCTCCTTGGTAGCAGCAAGGGGATCCTTGGAAAGGGAGAGAGATTTTGGTGGGTGCTGGCTCCTGGGCTGATCTGGGTGGGGACTGCCCTGCAGGTAGTGAGAACGAACCCCAGCACGTCTCAGATCCAACCTACATCACTCTCAGGGTAGGCTCCAATACAAAGATACTCCTTTGCTCCTGTCCAAATTGCCTACGGATTTGTACCGGGGGGGGAAAAATTCCATGGAAAGTTTCCCAACAGCTGCTGCTTCTCCTTCTGCACATCTAACCTTGGCCTCTTTGCACCTCCTCAGCATCCTGCACCTCACATCAGAACCTCCTCAGCTCCTATCACCAGGGCTAAGATGCCCAGGTTTTCCTCCAAAACTAACCTGTAGGTCCTGTGAACTCTGTCCTTTCTGATGTCCACCCCCTGACTATCCCCCAGCAATGGTTATTCATTGCTGCAACAGGGCACACAGTCATGGGTTGGAGAGGGAGCAATGGCAAACTGAGGTTAAAACCAGGGGAATCGGGTCCTGGAGCTGGGGCTGAGCTGACTGTGAAGGGCTCTGCAGCAATCCCAGCCCGGCCAGCAGACAGAAAGGGAGGCTAAAAATCCCACCACCACCTTCTTCAGCCCCCCACCTTCTTCACCCCTCAGCCTGTCAGTAAATGTATTAACCAGCCCTGGGGACAGAGCTGGCAGCAGCCCTGGTCAGGGGTTCCCCAGTTTAACCACTGACCACTTAATCTTGTTCTTGGGATCCACACCAGCTTTTGCCTCTCCCTGCTGGACTACTGGATTTCCCGTAGCAATATCTCTTGCAAGGTCTAAGCCCCTCTTGGACAGTTCCTGGTTCGAGGGAGGTGAGATAACATTTCATTCAGCACAGGGAGGAGCCGGATTCCTTCCCGCTCAGGTGGCTCCAGGCAGCTCAAGTGTCAGCAAATATTGACGCTGGACTGAGACTACTCGGAGATGCTGCCTCTGCCAAGACCCCAGACCCCCTCCCCTGGGATGTCTTGGGGTAAACCACACCTGGGAGACACTATCCTGGATCCAGGGGCTCTGTTTCCATCAGATTTTGCCCCAGATCTTGTCTCGGGCAGGACTTGCCACGGGACTGCCCTCACCTGCTCACCCATCTCCTGAGCCGTCTGTCTGTCCTGGGACATCTTGAGCTCGCTGCTTATTCCTGGTCTTCCCTCAGAGGGCTCCTCTGGTGTAACTTCACACGAACCATCCACCTGCACCTGCACTGTCCTTCCAGGGAGCTGGGATGTGGAGATGCTCTGGAATACTCTCCCCCACACACACTTCCCCAGAGTCTTGGCTGCACCACAGCGACCTGGAACTGGGCACAGCAGGAGGAAAGGGCACCTGTGAAGATGGGAAACAGGTCCCAGAGCCCCTTTTCAGCTTCAGTAACACTCCCCCTGAGCACAAGCAAGCCCAGCACAGCCCCAGTTATTCCAGCTGAGCTCAGGCTCCCTCCCCGCCCACTCCCCGCGCCGGGCGTGGACCCCTTGGATGGGTTTTATCCCAGTCCCCATAAGCAGCCGGGCAGCTCCTGGGCGGCAGCTGCTTCATCTCCGGCTTCACGGGTCTGGATTCGAGCCAACACCAAAACCTTGTCCGCGGAAAACTTTCACGGGAGCGGGAAGGGGCCCTGGGAAAACCCTCCCCCGGCGGGCAGGACGGGAGCTCGGGAACAGCCGCTCGGGGACCCCGCGGGTGTCACCGGGGTCACACAGAGCCGTTCCCAAGCCCCCCCCAGGCCTGGAGACTCCCCTGGGACCCCCTCGCTCACCGACACACCGATCCCCGCGTCCCTTTGGCTCCGAGCGCCGTTCCCAGGCAACGGCCGCACCGGCAGCACCGGCTGCGCCAGCGGCTGCTCCGGGAGACAACGGGGAGAGAGGCTGGAAGGGGAGACGAGGGGGGACCCTCCTCACCCCACCGGCTGCAGGGAGAGGCGGCACTGACCCCCCGCCCAAGGCAGGGACCTGGAGGGGGGACACATTGGGCCCTTCGCCCTGCCCGAGCCTAAATCCTGCTCGTGGCTGTGACAAAGCCCCTCTTGGCTGTGACAGAGCCCCTCTTGGCATCGCTGGGAGCCCTCTGGGACCAAACTCCCGCCCCGAGGGATCTTCACCCAATAACCCCCCAGGGAGTTGTAGGCAGCTGTGCTCCCGTGGCTCCCCTGAGCAGGAAAAGTGGAGTCAAAGCAAGAAAAATCATCCCCCATCCCCTGCCAGGTCCTCCCATCATCCCCAGCTCTCTGCCAGGACGGCACTTGCACAGGGGACCCTGATCCCAGGGATCCCTCCTCGCTCTGGCCTCACCCCTGCAGATAATCAGCTCCAAGTGCTCCCAGCTGTTGACCCAGCCTTGCTGTTGAGCTCAAATAATAACAATTTCTAAACTTAATATGTTTCTCCTTCTGCGCAGCAAGAGCCTGGCACCCTGCTGGGAGCAGAAAGGACTTTTGTTATCAGCTCCCACTATCTCCCCGAACTGGAGAGACTGCTCCAACCCCTCCTCTGTGGCACAATCAGGGAGTTCTGCAGCTTCAGGAGCAGGATTTGGTCCCTACCAAAGCAGATTTTGGTCCTTACCCCTCCTTGGGTGGGGGGAGAGTGGGATGCACCACCATAACTCCCCATCTCTTGCCACGTGCAAGGAGGCAGCGTGTTCAGTGCATCAGGCTTGTTCACACATGCTGCTTTTGTTCTCACCTCTAATAGTCCACTTTTTCAGTCTGTTTCTGGTCTGTTAATCATTACAAAATTGCTCCTTACCAGTGATATGTTACTTATGCCAAAACTTGTTTATGAAGCACTATTGCAGGGCGTGCAGCTTACCTGGGCTCTGCAAGGTCAGGAGTCCTTACTCTGTGTCTGTGCAGGTTTGCATTTAACCCACTCAACTCTGCCCCAAATAATAACTTCTACGAGAATGGAGAGAGGCAACACTCAGCTTTATTGTTTTGGGAGAGTATTTTGAAGTTCAACTGGAAACAAGCTTAAAACAAACTAGTCATCCCCGAAATCCCCTCAAACCTGTTGTGGGTTAGGAATGGTATTCCCCAATTTAGTGTTCCCACTGAAAACACCCCAGCACCACTCCCTCACTCCCCCCCTCCCCATGGATGGAGAGGAGAATGGGAGGCACAAAAAGGTAACCCCTGTCCTGGCTGGAACCAGGACAACACTCCAAAGCCAACTCCCACAAATAAATACAAAAAAGTTTTAAAAAAAGAGAGAGAGAAGCCAGATTAGGAGCACTTTTATCATAACAACATGAACTACTAAAAGTAAACAAAAGTAGAATTATAACCCCTATTCCTTATCTCACTGACTGAAAATAACTGGGCATTCCAAAAATCTTTCCAGCATGTTCAGTGACTTTAAAAATTGTGGTAATGTGGGGAAGATAAAGTATCAACCTTGCGTATTTCTTACCTGTCATCTACTATAAGAGGCATCAAAAAGTGCTCTAGAAGTTTTTAGCAGGTATTACAAGATATTCAGTGAGGAATTTTAGAGGGGGAAAAAGGGAATGTTCCATTATCACCAAATAAGAGCATTTCAAGCTCTTCAGAGCCTATATCAAGAGAGGTTTGGGTCTCTCTAGGGCCTTATTCTAAAGTGCTACAACATAGAAGAGGTGAGAATCCACATCTTGCAACTCTACACTGACAACCAGTGCAATTCTGAACTGCAGGCAGGCCCTGCTCTGCCAGAACCCCTTCAGGCTCTGGGACCAGAGGTCACAGCAACAACACGTGGGGAAGTTCTCAAACCAGATCAGAGTCCAGAAAGCAGGCACAAGCTTCAGCTTTATTGTTTTCTAAGTGATGGTCATCTTTGCAGGGGAATGATATTGCAGCTGAAAAAGAAAAGAATAGAAGGAAACATGAAAATCTCAGTTCTCCAACAAGAGATCCAACATGGGACGAATCAGACCCTCCACAACCCTCCTCCATTGGTTTCCTCTACCAGACAAACCAGCCCCTGAGACCTTCCTCCCATGGAACTTGACTCCCTGTGTTCCTGTGCAAAACCTCCAGCTCCCAGTCTGTCACAGGGCACAGTGACACACTGAGGGCAGAGCCCAGAGCTGGCCCTGCTCAGGAAACGTGTTCTGAGTTGCTGAAAGCCTCATCCCCTCTAGGAAGTGAAACATCAGCTCACCCCAGGAGGCCCTTCCCAGCCCAGCGCTTCGGAGTCAACCCCACGTGCACCCTCCTGCCACCACGGATCACAGTCACACTCAGGGGTCTCTGAAAGGGAGGAAAAAAATAAAAATTAAAAGAAATATTTCATTTTTCCATCAGCAAGTCAGCTCTCTTCTTCCTTCTTTTCCTGAAGCACCAGAACATTAAGCCCAGGGAGCTGTTCTGCAGCAGCACCCATTCCTATTCCTATGGCTGTAACTGGAAGAAGAGAGTGTTTTGTGCGGAGACATCTCCAGGAAATTTCTCACTTCCACTATAAAGCACTTAAGGCTGTGGCAGATTCTTTGGCCAGTCCACAAGGGTGGCACAGCAATGCTGGCTGCTGCTGCAGGGACAACACGATGCCCACAGCCAAGAGCACACACCACTCAGCTCTCCCATCCATCAGCAATTAGCTCAATGCTGTGAGAGAACAAGGCTACAACAGCACAGACTGAATCTTGACACTCTTTCTGACAGAGAAATGATAGCTCCAGAGATCCAAGTTCCATAGAAAAAGCTGTGGCTAACAGAGCCAGGCAGAGAATGCAGTCACGGCAGAAATGAGCTCACCCCCTCGCTGTGCTGCACCACTGTGGCAACGTTCTGCAGGTTCTGGAAGTTGTTTGCATTGACAGAACCAAACTCCACAATCTCGTCATCAACCTGAAGTCCCTGGACAGAGAAAGAGAGATGAGCATCTGCATTCTCCAAAGGCAGGTAATAACACAGGGAGTAACACAGGAGCATGACCTGCACCCAGCACAGAGTGGTGTTATGACCCTTCTTACCACTCAGGCAGCTGAACTACATCACACCCTCTCCATGTCCATAGGAGGAGGGAAGTACTCATTCCTCTGTCCTATTTTATGGGAAAAAAATACCAAGGCTAGAATGGTCAGTGAGGCGTGGGATGAGCTGTGTGGTGCCAAGATACAGCTGAGACAGCACCCACCTCGTTCCTGTACAGCAACTGCTCTATGCACAGGACACCCCAGTGTGACCAAACAAAGGGGGGACACCCTAATCAAACCTACAGCTCATTCCCACTTACTAACAAGAGACAGACCAAGCCATCAGCTATGTTTTCTCTCTGGCTCCAGACAAAGCCTCCCCCAGGAGCTGTCCCCAACCTACCGAGACACTGGCAGGGGATCCCGGGGTCACAGCGTTCACTTTGGCAAAGGGCTGTGGCAGGCTCTGGTTCTGGCTCATGGCCTCTGCCAAGGCCTCTGCCTCATCCCTGGCTTGCTTCTCCTTCTCCCGGGCGTGCAGCTGGTGCAGAGCCTCCTCCACCTGCTTCATCAAGGCCTTATGATCGTTCTGCAGACCTGTGGGTGACACCGTGAGCACAAGGGAGCACGAGCAGGTTCCACCCAAGGCCTCTCAGTCCCTCTGCAGAACCGTGTTCTGGGTGTCTCTGAGCTCAGCAAGAACCTCTGCTGGTCCTGGTCTATCTGCTGGGGCCTCCTGCCAGCTTGGCAGATGTTTATCAGCCAAAATCAGACGCTGAGAAAACCACCCTACAAATTTTGGTAAACACATGAGGGCAGCAGGGCCGGGAGTGCCACAATCCCTGAAAACACAGTGAAAGCTGAAGTTCTCTTTCCATCACGTCACCTACTGTTACACACGGAGAGCAAAACCCCTCCCCAAAGACAGGGCATAGGGACGAAACAAACGCCAGGCTGTTTCTTACCCAAAGTTTATCCTACAAACACCCCAGAAAAGCTTTGCTGTTCTGCACTGATCCCAAAGGGCTCCACAGCACAGGCAGAATTTTGATGCTGCTGCCGCAGCAACACGTGGACAAAAGCGTTTACTGACTCAGCCGATCCGCCAGCTCCGAGCACTGAGCAGAACCGCTGGGAAAGAGGCTCAGCGCAGGTAATTTTGAGGAATTACAAGGAACAGGCTGCAGATGGAGGGGTTTGAGAGAATTAAAGGGTGTCGCCGCCGTTCCAGGGTGTTCACCCAGCGCAGGGGCCGGCACAGAGCAGGGGCCCTCCCGGGTTCCCGCACACACCCCGGGTTCCCGCACACATCCCGAGCTCCCGGCTCATCCCAGCCCCGGGAAGGGCCCCCCGCGCCGTTCCCCGCTCACAGATGATGTTGTGCCGCGCGGTGCGCACTTGGTACAGGTCGATGTCGTTGCGGGGGAAGCCCTCGGCGTCCACCAGCGGCTCGTGCATCCCGACGCCCTTTTGCTGCGAGGGAAGAGAAGGTTGGGATGGAGTCGGGATGGGGTTGGGATGGGGCCGGGAGCGCTGCCCGGCCCCGCGCCCCCCCCGTCCCGCCGCGCCCCCGGCACCGACCCCCTCCAGCAGCTCGTAGCAGGCCTTGATCTGCGCCTCGATCTCGTCCTTCCTGCGCACCAGCTGCTGCACGTCGCTGACGGTGACGGGGCGGCCCCCGCCGGGCTCCGCCATGGCCGGGACGGGCGCGACGGGCGGGACCCGCAGCGACGGCGGCCGGGACGGACCACGGGGGGGCGGGGCGGGAGCGCCGGGGGCGGGGCCGGAGGGACCGGGGCGGGGCCAGATGGGCTGGGGCGGGGCCAGAGCGCCGGGGGCGGGGCCAGAGGGACCGGGAGGGCGTGGCACCGCGGTGGGGACAGCGCGGCGTGGCACCGCGGTGGGGACAGCGCGGGGTGGGACAGCGGTGTCACCGTCACTGGGTTACAG